GCCGTGCGAACGCGTTGACCCACGGACGTCAGGCGAAACCAGTTCCGACCCCGTCCGGTTCTGACGTCTGCCCGGGCACGCCGACGTTTTCCGCGCGTGCGAAACGCCGTTGCCGGCGGAAAACCCGCGACGGATCCGCTGCGGTCGTATATGACTCACGGCGATGACGCGAAACCGCTGGACCGTTCGTTCGCCGCCCGTAAGCCGTGGTCAACGTCGCGCGTGATTCATCGGGTTGACCGTGAACGTCTATGAGCGTGCACGGGCGCGGCAACGTTTCCGCCGGAGCCCGACGGAACGGAAGGAAATACAACAAAAGTGTTAAATCCCCGCGTGAGTGACGAACAGCGACGCGATGGCGAACAGAGCTCTGTCCGCGGTTTACGATGCGGAAAAACGACCCGCGATTTTGAATCGCACGACCGCACGATTCGCGCGTTTCCTCGTTCGATCGAAACAAAACAAAACAAAACAAAACAAAACGACGTTCCCCCGCTCGCGAGACCCGCCGCGCGACCCTGGACGACGCCGGGGCAGCCCTGAGTTTGTTGTCCGACGAAATTCGAATACGCATACGTTAAGCTCGCCGGCGGTAGTGCGCGTGCGGTTCTCGACGTATTATTATCGGTGCGCGGGCTTGAACGGCTTAAACGTTTCTCGCCAGTCATCGTTTCTCCGTCGTCAAGATTTCTTCGTTTTCCGAGCGCCGTTACCTGCGGGGAGCGCGGTGTACAAAACGAACGGCAACGGCCGTGATTGATATCCCGTGAAAAGTGTTCATCCAGGGCCGGATTTAAGCGTAGGCTATATAGGCCTGTAGCCTATGGGCCCGCACCACAACAGGGCCCTCACCACACCATCGTACAACTAAAAAAAAAAAAAAAAATGCTCCGTCTAAAAATTTTTAGAAAATTATTTGAAAATGTTCTGGAGATGGCTTAGTTAATAGTTTCACTATTCGTGTGTATGTCCTTTTTATTTTCTAAAAACTTTCTAGTAGGGCCCACACCACAATTGAGCCTAGGGGTCTACAAATCCTAAATCCGGCCCTGTGTTCATCTCGAAGCGTCCGTTAAGACAGCAACAATAATGCGGTGTACGTGAGGTGCGCATTATTGTTCGTCGTTATTCGGTGTTGCGCCTTAAGGACGTACCGTATTGTCTGTCAACAGTTCACGACTGTAACCTACTGGTAACACAAAACATTGTCATCTCCACCGACGTCTGGCATCCCAGGACGCCGTTATGTAATATCGCGATTTTCAGTAAATCGTTTGTTACATCGGCATGTTGTAAATCGATCGCGTCCTGTTCATCCGGCTAATCGATCGCTGAATTACAAATAACACAACGTTGAACAAATTACGAGATAAATGACCGCATGCATCTGTACAGATGAAATGCATAAACGAAACACGAGTCGAGATACTTTATGTACTCTTAAAACAATATTATTATCTTTACACAACAAAATGATTCGTCGGAGTGTCGGTGTTACGTATAACAGTGAATACCAAGAGTACAAGAATTACGTCAAGTTGGGATACAAGCGTTATACGCATATAGGTTTATGCGCTTAGAAAATTTAAAATATCGGTTCGGCTATACTTGGCCTATGCTATCGAATGCAAGTGATGATGCATGGTAAATAGTATATAAATAAATAAATAACATTTATTTCAAAACACTTTACGTGCAAATAGTGTGATTAAAATTTAATATTTGATTTGAGAATAATATTATTACATGTGGAAAAAACCGTATTACACCTCATCACGTTAACACCTACTACGTATTTACGTGTACTCTCAATAAATTAACTAGTTTCTTTCTCACTCAATTTAGGTTTTCTACTAAAAATGATTGTGGCAGATTATTATCATGTTGCTTATATGCACCTTTTCCAAAATTATTTTTATTTTATCTATCTTAAAGTATTTGAAATAGTGTTGAACTTCCAATAGTGAAACAAATTCTTCATCCCAAATACCTAAACATAATATTTAAATCTAATTAGGTGGTACTTCGAATCAGTGGCGGCACGACGCAGATTTTATTGAAGCAGCTGCTTCATACCTAAAATGGGATGAGTATTGTGTGACAGAAAAGTATAGTACATTATTTACCCATTTTCAAGGCCGGCCCAAGTGAAAATTGTGCTCTAGGCAAAATCAAATTTTGCCGCCTCTAAAAAAAATTAATTTCGCTCTTATTTTAACTTAGCCCCTTCCTCAATTTTTTGTGTAACATATCTATATAAAAAAAATTTTAATTTTTTATTTTACGTATAAGATTATGTGTAAGAAGACTTAAAATGATTTCCATATTTATTACTTAAAATCCATCACTATCGCGACTATCGGAAATGTGTGATTATTTATATTTTCGGAACAATTGAAAACACCCAGCGTATGGCCGTAATATAAAATAATATAATATCTTTAGACAAGTTTATTATATAGGCGGGTGGTTTTCACGAATGAATGAATTTCATTAATTTTTCTTATAAAACACCGATAGGACTAAAAAAAATTTACGAGTCAATTTTAAAAATGCCGCTGCAGGCAGGTGCCTAGCTCACCTATACCTTGAGCCGGCCCTGTCCATTTGACATAAAATATTATAATGTGTTTGATTGAAATTGTATAGTCGCATGTTGGCTCGTTCTTAGTGATTCTTTTTCCATAAGATGAGTATGTGCGTAGAAAGAATGAGTGACCTATTCTGAGGCGATTTAAATTTAGCGTGATGTATTATATTTAAGCATAAGCATATGTATGAGGTAACAGGGTAAACACTTGATTACTTTGCGAATCTTCCTTCCCTAACAAAAATATTTAATACTATTATGATAATAAATAACCATATTATGTTCAATTAATTCGACATGTTCGTAAACGGTAAGTTAAATAAACATAATATATTATATCAATATAGTTAGTTATCGGTCAAACATTATTAAAAGTAGTGATGGTCGTAATCAAGATATCTGGATTATCAAAATAATAATTCGATTATATAGGTACCCGAGAGATTATTTCGAGTGATATCTCATTTATTTTAAAAACAATAAATTCTTGATTACGAAATGTGTATAGAATAAAAAAATATTTCGAATGATTTTCATGGAACGAAGGAGTGAGGGAGGAATATTATTTTTAATCTTCATAATCGAATAAGTAAATACTAGTATTTCACTTTGAGTCTTTGTATTAACGACTCGTGCTACTTGTGGGACTGGTTGTTTCGCCCAGAGTTGGGCGTTAGTCGAATAAAATACAGTAAAACTCGCTTAAGACGCTCTTTAAAGGACTAGCTCTAGAGCGTTTTAAGCGAGAAAGTGTCTTATGCAGGATTGAAAAAAATTAAGTGATTGAAATATGGAGTACGGGCAATATACTAATAAATTATATAAGAATATGTAATTAAATACATGTGTACATATATTTTTTCCAACTGAATTTAATTTAAAAAAAATTATTATTAAATATTTTATTATTGTTTATTTAAAAATTGATATATTTCTGTTTGTTTACTATGCTGAAAATGCGTCTCAGCCAGAAAGTTTTCTACTTTGTTGAGATAACCCAACATTTATTCAAAATTTTCTACAGAGGATAATACTTTTCGAATTTCTGTTAGGTTTTGCAACCCGGCAGTAATTGTAGGAGTAGATATTGGATAATAGTAATAGCTGATGATAAAATAGGTATAGTGATAAAATAAAACGATACAACAATAAGAACACGTAAACAAGTAAAATTTTTATTTTTATCTCCGCAAACCTACTAAAATTTATCATAATCTGCTAAACAAAAGAGCGTTTTATCCAATAAGATAGAGAATAACCGAGCGTCTTAACAGGTGGTTTTTACGTTGACTAGTATAGGAAATGTCTAGGGATCAACGGAAAATATCATCTTATGCGGGAAAACGTCTTAAGCGGGAACGCCTTAAGCGAGTTTTACTGTATTATTCGATTGATTATTTGAATAAAAAATTATTCTTCATTGATTTATTCTTAATTTTATTATTGATTTTTTATTTTTATACGTTATTTTAATTTGTATAATTATTCGTTATTTGATATTCCCTATAATCATATAAATAATAAATTTAAATCCTAAATAACGATGTATAATAATAATAGACTTATTATTTAGACTTAAATAATATATATAAAAGCAATACATATTAATACATATAATAATTGACAAAAATAAATTAAATATACTTTTATATTTAATATCATTATTTAATTAATATCATTCATGATTTTGACGAATACATTTATTCTTTATTCAGTATACCAAAATTATTCAGAATAAAAAATTATTCTTTGTTCTAAAATTAATTAGTTATTCATGCTTTTATTTTTTATTCTTTATTTTGATTTGTTTTTGCCCAACTCTGGTTGTTAGACAAATATTGATGGGTATACGGTTATTTTTAGTTATTTATATTTTAAAGTTTGACATAAATATATAGCTATAGTTTTTGAATTACTCAACCACAAAACAAAAATTTCTCAGAACGTTTATAAATAAAATTATATTATATTTATATTTATATATTATATTTCAATGGAACATTTCGAATGATTATTTCGAGACATCTCGTAATTAAATAAATGTCTCGATTACTAATATTTCGATTATTGAAATCATTCGATTATGCCATCACTAATTAAAAGGATACGCTGTTGTAAAGTAGGAAGCAAATAAGAGACGGTTTCTTTGACAATGAAAGTGATAAATGTAACACAGAACTGTTGACCACTATCAGCAGCTTAAAAATAAATAGGAATCAAAAAAAATACTCCTCTCCTCAAAAATATTCCCTCAACACTACCATAACTTCGAATGGACAACTTATCAATAATAAAATTTTATAAATTCTAAGCAAGGAATTTACGAGTGAACTACTTTTTTTTTGTACTAAGCTTGCGATAATTAATTCATAACAGTTGGTCATAGTGGGTTTTGTTATCAATAACGTTTACTTTTTTTTTTTATCTATACTTAAACAATAATATTTTTACGTGGTTTTATGGGAACTGATACTTGAGTTCGAATTCAAAACAGTGTTAAGGTAATTGTTACTTATTTACCTTGACTATATTGGCCCGAGCTTTTGTAGCATCATGAGAGTCGTGGAATTCTTCAGTGGCATCGGTGGGATGCATTTCGCTTTAAAAGGTATAATTATGTACTCGTAACTAACACATTTTATGAAACGAAAACAAACAATTATAAATGAATGTTTAAATAAATTGTATATTTTGTACGTGCCGTCAATGGATTCAAATATTATGATTTTTTCAGAATGCGACATGACAGATTTCGAAGTAGTTCTAGCCGTTGATATAAATACCGTGGCTAATACAGTGTACAGGCATTTCTTCCCATCCACAAATCTTAGGGATTTGAACATTGTTTCTCTTAGCCCTGAACAATTTGATGCTTATTCACCAGATATGCTGTTAATGAGTCCCCCGTGTCAACCATTTACAAGGTAAAATTTTAAATTATTTATTTATGAAAAGTATAAAATAGATTATTTTTTTTTTTTTTTTTAGAAATGGCCTCGTTAAGGACATTGGTGATGATAGAACTAAACCTCTGCTACATATTATTGAAAATATAATTCCAAAATCACGATCCCTCAAGTATATTTTAGTTGAAAATGTTAAAGGGTTTGAATGTTCTTTGGCTAGAAACAAACTTGTTGAATCTTTGAGTCAGTCTGGTTTTACTTATAGAGAATTTCTGCTCAGTCCTGTACATTTTGGTATATGCAATTCAAGGCTCAGATACTATTTATTGGCAAAGAAAAAACCATTAGATTTTGCCATTCCTTTGCAAAATGATATTGTAAGTTATTTAAACAAAATACAAATACAATTAATAAAAATAACAAAAAAATATAGCTGTAGAAAAAATTGCAAATTAATTTTTCTTAAGTGCTTTTTATTCAAATTTCTCAATCTACTAAAAAGGTCATAAACATTTATTAGAACTCTTCCACATTATACTATATAAAATACTAAAATCTGTTCTGAGCTCCATTACTTAATTATTTGGTTAAAAATATTATGGGCTGTGACATTTAATTTTTTCGCCTATTTGGCATACATATTTTTTTGATTTTTTTGTGTACTAAATTGTTGATTAATTTTATTCTTATTTTTATAGATAACTGAAAATCATTGGGACAATAAACTGTGTGAACATGTTAAACAAGTTTCAGATGTGTTATGTGAATCTGAAACAGAATTAAAAGAATATTTAATAAATGATAAACAGTTATTAAAAGGTGCCAAAGCTTTGGATATTGTCACCAAACATTGTAAGAGGTCATGTTGCTTTACACGTTCCTATAGTTCATATTTATGTGGTACTGGTTCAGTATATTCAAGTTTATGCGAAGAAAATGTTGAAAATATTAAAAAAATCATTAATGATAATGAAAGTAATTTAGAAGTATTAAAAAGTCTAAAACTAAGATTTTTTACACCAGCAGAAATTTCACGATTTATGTGTTTTCCTAAATTAGATTTTCCAGTTAACAAAAAAAAAGCTTATCAGCTATTGGGTAATAGTATAAATGTTTATGTTGTATCTAGGCTTTTATGTGTATTATTATCTTAACTGTTTTTCATATAATCTTCAAAAAAAACATTTTTAAGTTTATTTAATTTTAAACTATTTTCAACTAGAAAATATAGAAAACTGTAAAAGTGAATTTTTATTGTTTAAGGCTAATAATTTTAGATAAATATGCTTCAAAACCATAAAAGTTTGAGTTTTTGAATAAATAAACAAATCAGTTAGGTATTTAGTAAAAATACAATAAATAAATATTAAAATTTAAAAAATATTTAAATTTAATGATATTAATTTCAACAATTATGAAAAACTTAAAAAAGACTTATTAGTGATAATGGAAATGTTATAATACATACAATTTTAAGAAAATATATCAATTTAAAATTATTTTCATTATTTTTAGTATTATTTTACAAATAGCTAGTTAATCTTATTGTTACTTATTATTTGAGAGTAAAAAATACGTTTAATTTATAATTTATTTTATAACTTTCTTGAAACATATTATCTTACTCAATAGAAAACGGAAAGCAAAATTTTAATGACTAAGCAGTTAAATGTTGGTTCATAATAGGTATACTGTGAAATGTAGTTAGAAGCCAATTTAAATTACTAATATGAAACGAGTACTTTAAATTTTCATTTATTCATTAAAAATAAAATGAAAAAACTTAGAAATCAAATAAATAATATAATAATATATAGATATTTAATATGGACGTTTAGAGTTAAACTATGAACATTTTAGAATGGTTAAATCATTTTAGAAGCATTTATTTATACTTTATGGTTGTATATTGAAAATGAATTCCTAACTTAAAAATGAACATAACAGTAATTTCATTTTCTTATATTACATATCAGTCCATAATAATATAATTTCATTGTTTTCCGAGGGCTTTTTGCATCTCAGCTGATTTTTGAATCTTAGCCAACTCTTTTTCTGTATAAAAACAATTCAAATAATAAAATTAACAATATATATTAAATAAAATAAATTTTGAAGTATTGATTAAAATGCAAACAAAGCAAGACAGCAAGTATTAAACAATACTAACCTTTTTTTTTCATCATCTCTTTTCTTTGCAGCTTCTGCACGTTGTTGTTTTATGATTGCTAACCTTGCTAAATCTGCTCTTGCTTCTTCAGTTTTACCTTCAGCTTGCAACTTCTGATAGTGTATTTTTTTCCGTTGTCGCTCAAGTTCTTCTCTGTGAATATAAACAAAAGAAAACTGTATAAGGAATATTATTTACAACATAAGATAAATTTTTAATTAACCTTTCACGTCTAGATAACTGAGAAGGTTCAGCGGTTTCTAAGGTTTCATTTAACGTGGCTAATTTTTTTGCTTTTAACTGTCTTCTATTTGGATTCTCGATTTGTATTAAACCAGCAACACCCTTCTTTTTCTATAAATAATAATTTCCATAAGTATTACAATCAGTTTAAAAGGTTAGACAAGTAATTCAAAAGTCATTACATCATCAGAATCTTCGTCGGATTCACTATCGCTCTCCGACTCGTCTTCGCTATTACTCTTATCCCCTTTAGTTGCAGATTTTTCTTCTTCACTAGATGATTCATCATCGCCTCTATTATTTTTCTTCCATCTACGTTCCTGTTCTTCACGTTTTCTTTGTTCTTCTAGTTCTTCAGGATTCGTGAACTTGCGACTCCGTCCTTTATGATTGGTCCATTTTCCTGAATAAGCAAAACAAAAAACACATTGTTCCTAAGATAAACACAAACAAAAGAATTTTTAATATTTTGCTAATGATGTACATACCTCTAGGCATTTTGAAGACTATTTTTTGTTTACTGTTAACGAGTAAATACAGTAAGTAGAGTAATAACAAAATTCTATTTTTGAGCTTAGGATTTCAAAACCGTTTTGGTGGACGGGAGTCGTCGGCTGTATCAATTTATCAAAATATTGACGTCAATGATAAAATCCAACATTATTATATTCATTGTACTGGGTCTTCCGATGTTGCATCAGATAATACCTTGGAAGAAAACAATGAATGGGGCAAAGACGATACAAAGATAAAAAATAGCGATACCGTTGCTACGGCATTCGTATTGTTGGCATTCAACTTTGAAATAATAATTGCAGACGGCGTGCGGACGTCGACAGTAAAACGTTTTAAGCCTGCTGCAACATTATTGATCACGTCGTTAAAACGAACTCGCGCTCGTGTCGAAAACGAGAAAAATAAAAAATTAATCGATATCCGTTTCGAAAAACCGTCTACTATCGATAGTATATACGTGCGCGGGTGAAGTGGGCATGATTCGAAATCAGAAAAGAAAAAATTAAAATTCTACACGCAGAACGCAAACCAATACGTTAATATTTTCACCACCACCCACTCGAACATAAAAAACATTGTTGACTCTTCAATTAATCATTACTGACCATCGGTTAATAAATTGTATACCTTATGTTGATGGTTTTCTTCCCTTTGAACTCGTCGTCGTTGTTCTCTTAACACGCCGTCTTGCTTTCTGAGCGAGTGACAACGAAAAATTGAGAATAGACATCGCATGTACGTATGCATAGTACTATTATTATTATTATTATTATTATTATTATCGAATGGTAATATGGTATACAATGGACGTGTTGAAAATATTATTTTGGAGCAAATGCCTCTTTAAAATTTCACAGTCATATTGGGCTTGATAATAATTTATTCAACATTGTAACTTGTTAATCTGCATCATTGGAATATAATAAATTAACTAATTAAAAACACACGATTTTCAAATATCTTCTTAAATATGAATATATTTTGTAAATATTTTAAATTATGTTTTGGTTAATTGTATAAACCGTTCGGTGGGCATGGGAATTTATATCTTATAAATATTATTGCTCATGTCCAAAAATCAGTTTAATCCTTCACTGCATGATTTTTTTATTTTTTACGAAAAAAATATATTATATGTAATTTGAGTCCTGGAAAGTAGGAAAAATAGTTAAAAAAAATGATAATCCAATATTAATTTAATAAACTTATGATGGCAATACATTTTTGCATTTCCGTTAGGTTATGTCATAGATATTTTCAATACTTCTGATACATATTTTTATTTTTAAAAAAATTTCATTTTTTGTAACCTTTGACAATTCTTAATAGTAAAAAACTATAAAAAAAAATAATTTTTGAGTGAATACTTAGGTATTACATTTAATTATAACTTATTTAATAAATTTAAGTAAACATTTAAAAACAATAAACAAAAATGTTTGCTAATTTGGTGTTAGATACTCATAAAAAAAAGGTTAAATATTTTTTATCATAATAATGTTAATTATGGAATTTTTAAAAAAAAATTCTATCATTCTTAGAACACAAAAAAAACAAAGCATTTAGAACATTGAATAAAAGACTGATACTTGAAATTGGTCATTTTAAAAACTCATGGATTTACCAGTGATCCAAGTGATTTTTATGATATCCATAGGAAGTAATGATGTATTTCTATATCGAGTTAATTTAAACTTGAATGTGACATGATTATCGTAAAAACATCAAATAATTTGTACAAAATAAAATTACGTATTCTTTTTGTTGTTATTGCATAGTAATATATATATGAACGATGATAATAAACCCATTTTACTCAATATTGTATACAATTCTATTGTATTCTATTTACAATTTTATTCTATCTATAGATGAATAAAATATCAATCGTACCATCTCTCTAAAGTTTAGACAATATAGAATCTAAAGGTGAGTTCACACTTGTGTAACATGTAACTGCAACGAGTAACTTGCAACGCGTTTTTGTAATATATTCTTGCAAGAGCGTATTTGAAGAGGGGTGGGGCGAAGGGGGAATTCGACGGAACATGAGCTGTAGATAATGAACCAGTGGCGTACCCAGGCAATTTTTAGGGGGGGTCCAACATTTTTATTTTATCTGTTCTCTAATTATAATTATACCAACAAATTATTGTTAATAATTATAGTAATAGTTACAATAGTTATACACACATCACACATATTCTTCACAAAGGTTTACTATAATAGGTTGGTACTATAATTTGAAATCAATTTTTATTTGGTAGTAAAATGTTAAAAATAATACATTATTTAATTAACAATAATAAATAATATTAAAAAAGCAGTATAAATTAAACATGGTTTATACATTATAGGTATATTATATAATCTATAAACTTTACAAAGTTTATATATATTCAATATACATATTGGAGATAATGGGAAATTAAAATACACTATGTACTATTTACTATTAAACCATTGAGTATGTAGAAATTTCAATGGGGGGTCTGGACCCGAACCCTCCCTTGGGTATGCCCCTTTAATGAAATGTAAATTATTTTCAAGTTTGTATTGAAGAAAAATTAGTTCCCCCCCCCCCCATGGCCACAACTCAAATACGCCCTTGTATTTTTGTAACAATCCAGCGAACTTGTATCATATTTGTGTAACATACCGACGATCGGTTGACGGTCAGTAATTTAGTGAAACATTAAAGTTACACAAGGCTGTATCTGGGGGGGGGTCCAGGGTGTCTGAACCCCCCTCTCGAAATTTCTTCAATATTTTACAAATGTTTAAAATAATTATTTATTTTTAATACCAACATAAATATTTTCAGTCAAAAATGACTTAAGCTCCAATTAACCATTAACTGCTTTTAGTTTTATATCATAATATCATATACAAATATGATATTAATTTTAATAAAAGAAGATTAAACCATTTTCTGTTTTATTTTTAACCAAGTATCAAAAGTTAAAATCTAAATTCAATAAAATTACAATATACATGGTTTGGACCCCTCCCGAAATAAATTTCTAGATACGGCCTTGATGTTACATAAATATATTGAAGCTTGTATGGACAGGTTTACGAACCTATTACTAATAACTAGTAATGACGTAAAAAATTTATAAAAAATTTGAAAATGTAATTAATGACGTAAAAAAATTATTAAAATTGTGAAAAATAAGTACCAAAAATGAATTAAACATTTTTATTTTATTTGATCAATGATTTTCACACACTTTAGTCCGTATTATTATTATAGTCATCGATTATTTTACCAAAATTTAAGACGATAAAGTGTAGTTGTCAATAAGTAGGTTAAAGAAAAATATTGAATACTTGAAATTTCTTTAATTTTTTTTCTAAAAATGCTAAATGTTTAACAAATATGAAAATTATATCCTTAAAAGTAATTAAAATACCAAAAATGCATTAAAGAAGTAAATATAACAAAAAATGCAAAAAATACAAAATAAAAATTGAATTATATGAATCTATACCACTTGAAACATTTTTTTTCTAAACTGAGCATTGCGTAAGGATTTAGAAAAAAAAATGCATTTTGCATTGAAATCCGGGCCCTACTAATAATTAACCTATTATTAATTATTTGTATTATTTCAACTGCAGTTGACGATTGACAATGAAACGAGCTAGTATTTGTTGTTTATCATAATATTTCATTTTGAATATACAATGTTCCAGTGATCAAAGGAAATGATTTTAAAATGTATAGAAATTTACCGTGATAAAGAAATATTATGAAATCCTTCGCATAAAAATCATTTTAATAGCATATTAAAAAATTATTTTTGGGTTTCCATTGCTGATCAATTATCAACGGGTTTGTCGAAAACGATGTCACCTGACGAATGTCGTAAAAAAATTATTACTCTACTCTTTGAATACAGGAAAGAAAAAAAGTACAAAGTAATGTAAAAAAAAAAGCATGAGTGCAGGATTTGTACCACGTGTATTTGTATTTCAAAACGTCTAAAAGAGTAGCTACAGGCTACCCAAGTAGACGTAGGCATGTTGACTATACTCTCAATTTCAGAGAGTCAAGACACATTTTTTTTACATGGAAACCACTAAATTATGACTTGTAACATGTTGCAAACCAATGGTACAACATGCGAATACAAAAATGCAAAAACGAACACCGAAAACTGTTACAGTAACATGTTACATGTTGCGTCTAAAGCCGGGTACAAACCGGAGCACTTAGGTGTAATGTAACGCTGTAATGCAACTGTAATGCTCAGGTGTGTACGGTGTTACTGTATCATTCGCGCTTGTTCGGCTCGCGACGCTATCGATCCACCCTAGTGTCGGTTTTTTGACGAACATCCAAGGAATGTTACATTACGACACGACGCTGGACGGTAAACCAGTTGCTTGCAGCGAATGAATCGCCCGGATTATATTCTTATGTTGATGTAAAATTAATTAAAATAAACGAATAAAATAATATTATTATTATATTATTATTAATATTAATAAAATTAACGAAATTGATTATAATATAAATTAATAAAATTGTATTATTTAATATTAATTTAAAAATGGAGTGGAATAATGAGAAAGAACATATGTCCTTATACTTCATTAAATTCGTTAGCCATCATCTCTTTTCGCGTTTGTTTTTGATTTTTTTTTCTTCTTTTTACAATATAATGAATTAAAATAAATTATGCTCTAGCGACTTGAAAATTGGTAGACGTTGTTGCACGAATACAAACCGTGAATAGACCGGCGAACAACCGATTCAGAATAGTGCTCGGTCCTAAACGTACACACCGGTCGTTTGTAACATGAACATCCAAGCGAGCACGAACTCTGTTACATTACACCTAAATGTTCCGGTGTGTACCCGGCTTAGTGTATACGCATCTCAATACTTTTTTCCAAAAATTTCGACTCTTGACTCGCTTGATTCCTACACGCTGCTAAAAATAGCAAAAATCAGTCTTTTTTTTCTGTTGCCACTTAATCATCGAATAAAAATTTAAATTTTGAAGTATGTGGATCGCTCGAACAGTAAAATTGTGAAACAAATCTTACTTTATTGATAATGAAAGATAATAACAGTGTTAAAATATCATTTTTATCATTATTTGTTGTCAAATAAACAATTTAAATCACACAATGCATATATGCCTTAACATGCAGTGAACGATACTGTAGTGTTACTATTGTAATAGTGTATCAAAACAGGTTAATGGGTGACCGAAAACCGTCAACATATTATAAAATAATTAAAATTAATTAAATTGTGTGAAATAAAAAAAATGTAAAAAATAAAAACAAAACAACACCTGATTAAATTAACTATATTAATACAATTTTAAAACTTGAAGAACGAAAAATGTTCCTTATTTAGGAACGAGTTCCTTTCTTCAAGACAGGAACGGCAAAGGATTTAATTCCTTTTTAACAAGATGAACGTGAACGTTCCAAGCACTGGTTTTATTATCTAGGGATCATCTTGATTTTTTAAATGGTATTACTAGATTATACCTTCGTGTCAAATTCAAGTTTCTTCCCATAAAGGAAGTTCTTTATAATGTTGATGATCAGTAAGTGAGTAACAAAATTGAAAACTTTGACATGAAATGGTTCAATATTAAGGGCTCAAATGTATACAGTGATTTAAGCTACGTGAACCTAAGCTATGTTTAAAATTTCAAAGCCTATCTGAAGAGAAAGCAGAGATATGAAGGTCAGAAAAACCGGGTGAATCGATTCGTGTTAAGATACACATTGCATTGCTAGAACTTGATGGCACACTGCCGTGCGTTCAAATTTATCTGAACATGGTTGAGCCTAATATTTCAATGGAGCCTTGCACATCCCCGATAGGGACCCGTAATCAAGTAATCAATACAAAAGTGAGTGTCCGTTCAGATCGAACACGAATACGGTAGCATGTAGAAAAAACAGATTAGGACTTAAGTCATCTTTACTGCTATTATTTGTACTCAAGACTCGGACTGGTTTCTGTTAAAATAATAATAATGTATGTGGACGTACATAATGTAATGGATAGTGATGGACAGATGCATTAAAAAACACACTTCATGTTTGAACACCGTTTGAATTGACTATTTTTCAATCTTCTCTAAATAATTACTTCTTATTCTTGTATTTAATAAATCTTCATCTTTTGATGATAATTCTTTATCAGAAACGCACGTTTTTGAGTATTGCTATAACTTATGTAGTCAATTATCGACCACAATGAATTAGGCTGTAATACAATATTTATATATTGATATTATGTTTAAACAACCACTAAATGTATCCAACATTTAAGTGGCATAAAAAAATTTATATTATAAGGAATGGAAAACCTTATTTATAATGTTATATTGTTAGAATATTGGCAACAATTTTTTTGTTTTTTTTTTTTATATTTCATGATAAAAACCAAAAACAGGTTACTTCACTAAACATGAATTACATTAATATTTTAAAAAAATGATAAGAACCAATATGTATATGCCAATATTATTTATTCATTAGGTGAAAATGGCTGACAGCGTACCAGTGTCAGATGTTGTGTGTATTGATGACATGGGCAAAGCCAGAGTCATGGAACCTGTTTTGGCTGATAAAGTGTCCAGCTTAAAGGATCAAAGCGCTGATTTTTTGAACGGTATTATTATAGTATTTGGTTACACATAATTGATTCATAACAAATAGGATTTAATCATTACTTTTAATTCAGACATAGAGCTCTATCGTGATGCAGTAGACAGCTTAATTGGCGTAATGGAAAATTTAGCCAAACAGGTAGATCAGGAAAAACGCAATGCAATAATCGTATCTAATAAATTAGCATCATTATCCAGCAAGACTGAAGAAAAAATAGCTATGTTACAAGTGAGCTGTAGTGCAAGTAAGCTTAAAGATTTGAATTACTAATATAGTTTATGTTTTAGTCACAAATAGAACAAAAAACCCTGGAGCTGGAACGCTGCAAGATTGAGCACAGAACACTGCAAAAAATTGAATCTGAACAAGCTGATTTAATAAACTGCTTATCGTTTCAAAATTAAGGACCATTTTAAAATAGCACACCATTAAATATTAACAGTACAAGTAACGAAATGCAGATGAAAGTAAATATTATTATTTTTTTGTTTATTGTTTAATGATTAATAAAATTATTTCTTAACTATAAAATAATGCTTATACATAAACATAATTATGGTAAATGCATTTTTATATAATAAATAATATAATAATTATCATAGTATAAAAAAGAAAAAATCTGTGGTAATATATATGTTTGCCTATCAATACACTATTTTCACATAACAACCTTGATTCTTGAACATATAAATATTATCAATATAAAATAAAAAAATAATTCATTTTTTCATTTCTTTGTTTTTTGTTTTCATGTCCAAAATTTGTATAAAATGTAACAAATAGAAAAAAAATATATAAATATATATAATAATAAGGAATGTGTAGCATTACTGGACGAGAATATTTTAATATAAATATAAAAATGTAAATGGCATTAATATGTATTAAATGGTTAATGATTTATGATTAATATATAAATAATTATTGTTGTTAGATAAGAAATTATTTTGTACAAACACAAATAATAAAAAAAAAAAAAAACATAGAATAATTATAAATAAATAATAAATAATGACCACTTTTCATTACAAAAAACAATGGTATTTTTTTTTAATACTTCCTGTTTCCAGAATATTTTTTGTAAAATCAGTGCAATTATTAAGATTTCCGTGGTACCAGATCAAATTTTTATAATATACACTAATGGATATAATATAATAATGATTGAGGGTCTTCTTGGAAAAAAAAATTTCAAGTTAAAATTAAAATAATAAAAATTCGGTTTCTTTTTGAGCCATACATCACAACTCCTTAGAATTGTGTTTTGTTTGTCATGGACCTGAAAAATTATAACATTTATATTGGCTTGAATCAATTCTACATTAAAAAAAATTAATTATATTGTTTAATAATAAATGTGATCAAACTAAATACTAATTTAGATAATTAATGATTAATTATGTCAGTGTTTTATTGGATTGTACATGCCATTGCGTACATAGTGTGCCTAAGGGTAGGAAATATTTTTACCAATCTTCGCCAGTTGAATTATACGCCCTACCCTGTAGCATATTTATTAACCCTATGAAGAGGAAATATTAATTTGTATGGATTACTCAGAGAGTGAATTGTTTTTATAAAAATATCGGTATTTTGCTGTAAGTAAATATGTCAATTGACGTACCCGGTTATTTTTTTTACTAAAGTAGTGAGAACTTCAATTGACATTACTGAATATTCTCTTTTTAGAAATTAATTGTAGTATTTAATTAATTCAACTAAGAATAAAAAAAAATGTTAATAAACTTAAATGAATCTTATTCATTGTGAACAACAAAAACATGATTTTATATTACAGTATAGGCAACAATACTAGATGGTTAGACTAAATATAAAACATTAGTTGAATTACAATTATTTATCTTCTTACAATTGTTAATAAATTATGTATTTATCCAGTTATTATTTTGAATAAAATCTACAGTTATTTCAAAATATTTTGTTCTCTTTGATATTCAAATTTATTAAAGTTTATTAAAAATATTAAATTACATAAATCATACCCAAAAACTAAAAATAGTGACATTGAAGTTTGTTGGTGTTTAAAAATAATAAAAAAAAAAAAGGTAATATCATCTTTGAATAACTATAATGTTAAAGGTTAGAATATATAATTAAGATAAATAAAAAGAATAATCAACTAAAGAACAAAATATTTTTAAATAGTGATAGCTTGAAATACATAAAGGGTACATATTAATTTATACATATTTTTCCCATGCGTTCTATGAAAAACCAATAACTTTTATGTAAATGTTTACACCCTAAGGATTTAGGAAATCCTAATAGTCACATTACATACCCAATCCAGGTTTTTAACTAAGAGAGATTTTTCATGTGCATTCCCTACATACCATTATTTATTAATTTTTTGAATTGAAAAGTAATTATCTTCAAAATTTAGCGAGACCACATGTCTTCGGTACCTAAATATTGTAATATTAATTCACACCATAGACTTGACCACAAAAATAATAAAACAAATATCAATTTTACCATAATTATACATTTACTTCATTTACCTAGTGAATTTGTATCATTTGATCCATTGTTTGATTCCAAAGAATCATCGAGAGAACTTCCATGGACTGTTGATAAATCGTCAATAGTTGAGCCTCGTTTACTACCAGCAGTACCCATTCTAGAAGTAGTAACTCCGGTTCGTCTAAAATTAAAAAAAAATAGTTAATAATATTTATTAAAAGTAATATACTAAATTAATTTTGTATTAAATAAATATATAAGAAACCTGAGCTTGCTTCTCAGATTATTGTTTTCCCGGGATATAGATTCATTAGATTCCAAAAGTTCATCAAGATCACGTTGAATTTTACGTTTCTGGTGTTTTTCTCGGCTAATTTCTTCTTCAGCTTCTTCAATTTGCCTTTTAAGTGTTTTTACTCTAGCATTGCTCTAAACAAAAAAATAATATGAATTAATTCAAAACATTTTTATTTTATTTTATATTTTTTTAACTTACCTTTTCTACTTGTTCCTTATATTGGTCAACAGTTCTTCTTTCATCTTCTAACTGCATCACAATTTCTTTCATCTTCTTCTCAAGCTTACGGTTAATTTTTTGTTGTGATTGTCTTTCCCTAATTAAAAATTACACAAAACAAAACAAAAATAACAAAATGTAAATAGAACTTCTGGTTGCAATATTTCTTATTTATTTTTGCACACATACTTAGCTTCAGATTCCAATTGCCCTTCTAAGTTGACAATCTTAGACTCAAGGTTAGAAATAGCAGTTTTGGTTTTAACTCGTTGATTAGTTTCAATTTCTGCTAATTTGGCTTTCAGTTCTTTATTTTGTCTATCTAACAACATTCTGTTTGTTTCCAATTTTTGTGTTGTTGATCGTTCATTTGCCAAATCTATATTTGAAAATATTTTTTTACAAAAAAATATGCAATTAATATATATATATATATATATTCAAAATTTACCAGAATTTAATTGCTCAATTTGTATCATTGCCTTTCTACTACGTTCATTCAATGTTTCTGAATTGGTTTGTTCCTCCTCTAATTCTTCTTCCAAAGTAGCTATTCTTGCTTCTAATCGGCGTTTTTCATCAACCATTAATGTACTGCTAACAAAATTAAATACCCAATAAATTAAGTTCAAATGTTGTGATAATTATTATAACAAATACTAACCCCTTGTTAGAATTGCTATTCATTTCTTCGAGTAAATCGTCTCTTTCACTTTCTGCAACTCGTCTAGCTCTTTCAGATGCTGATAATTCTTCCGTCAATAACAAAAATTCAGCCTCAACTGATTTTAATTTCCGCTCAGTTTCTTTGGCTGTGGCTGATAGCTCATCACGAGAAGTTCTTGCCTCTTCAGCATCACGTGTCGCATCCTTCAATTGCACTTGTAATTTTTTCAGTTGTTTCAAAGCATCTTCCTTTAATTTATTATGCATATCTAACTGCTGTTCTAAATCTTTGTAATCAGCTTCAATCTTCTTGCGACCCGCCATTGCAGAAGACCTCTGTTTACGTTCATCTTCTAGTTCGGCCTCAATGTCACGGATTTGTTTCAGAAGTCCTCTACGTTTTTCTTCACTCTGCTCTTCTTTAGCCTAAAATATTTTCAAAACATAAAAACACATAATAATTAGAGAAATGAAAAATTAACCAACCACAATCAACATTTATATTAATATAGATAGTTTCTGATAATTTTTAAATTAATAAAATAGTTTATTTTTATAAATTACTCACAACAAGATCTCGTTCAAACTGAGCTCTTAATGCTTGCATATTCACTTCAAGTCTTAATTTAGCATCTTCAGTTATTTGAAGTTCATCTTCCAAATCTTCATTCTGTATACGTATCTCAGCCAATTGCGATTCTAATATTCGTTTAGCTTTTTCTAATTCATGAACCTATAAAATATTTTTTTTTTTAATTAAATTACAAAAATTATAATAAATAAAATGTATATACATTTTTATCAGCTGTTCCTTGATTGTTGATAAGCTCATCCAATTCATTTTGTAGAGTTCTCTTTCCTCTTTCCAATTCTTCAACTTTAACCATCAGCTCGTCAAGTTCTCTTGTCAAAGAAAGTACACGTGTTTCCTTTTCTCTAGCTTCCCGTTCAGCAGTATCACGTTCAATTGCCATTTGTTCTGAAACGGCCTACATAAAATAAAAATAATTATTAATGGTTGTAATAATATATTTAAATTAAATATTCTAAATAAATAAAACTTTATAGTTCTATACCTTTTCCTCAGCAAGAGTTTTGTCAAATATTCTTTGTTTTTTCTCAAGTTCAATAACCTTGGATCTTTGGGCTTCTAAATCAATATTAATATCATCTAATTCTGATTGAAGTTTCTTTTTAGATTTTTCTAATTTATCATTGATAGCTTGTAATTCTTCAATTTGTCGTTGTAATAATTCCACATCCTAAATAAATAAATTATAAACAAAACTTTTAAAATAAACAACAATGATGCATACCTTAATCATCTTTTTATAAGAAGCTTCCATAGCTGCAGATTGCTCAGCTTCCTCTTCCATCTTTTTCCTGCTTTCAGTGATTTGCAAGTTAAGAGCAACAATTTGTTTTTCCATATTCTTTTTTGACTCTTCTTCCTCTTCCAATTGTTCTTGTAAAAGTTCTTTTTCACTTTCAATTTGCTTCAGTTTTGAATTCAATGATAATTTCAATTTAGTTTCTTCTTCGAGAAGTGTCTAAAACAATCACCCAATATACATATATAATTAAATGATATAATAATACAGTAATAATAATACTCAAATTTGAGTGGTAACATAAATAAGAAATAGAATTTTAGTTAAGAATATCTTTATGCTTAAAATTAATCAAAAATCCATCATTTATTAGGAATATAAGCTATTTTACTTTAATAATAAACTGTTTTAAATATTATTATAAATTACAAAAAAAAAAAAAAGTAATTCAAAATACTAGGTTAGTCATTTTAAGTCTACTTTAATTAACGATAATTATTAAATATGAAAACAAATTTTAATAAAGTACTGCATATTTTATAGTTAACTAGAAAATCAAAAAAACTTCTATTAAGTATCATCTGAGTCCAATTTTAAATCTTATAAAATATAAGAAATTTACAAAGAACAAATTTACCATACAAAAATTTATATCACAAGAAAAGAAATATCTTTGTAAAATCAATAAAATCTTGATTTTACTCAAAATCTAAAATTCAGTTTAGATATTACAATCAATTCTGATATTCAAGGTATAGCAACTCAAATAAACGTAACTAAAAAAAATCATTGTAAATTATTATATTAATGTACCTGTGTTTCTTGTAATTGAGTTTCCATTGTACCAGCTGCTTTTTCTGCAGCAGAAGCTTTAAGTTCAGCTGCTTCCAATTGATTTACAATGGATTCAGATTCATTGCTCAGTTTGGAAAATCTATCAAGTAATTCATTTTTCGATCGTTCTGATTCAGCTAGTTTACTAAGTGCCTCACCTATAGAGAAAATATGTTAGTTATAATCACATTACACATAGAATTTAGTTTAACAAGATACTTACTAAGTTGAGATTCAACAATTTTACGCTTTCTTTCCAATTCAGATTTAGAAGATGCAGAAGCTTTGAGGTCAGCCGCAAGATCAGCATTTTCAGCTTCAAGAGTTTGTTTAGATTTTTCCAATTGACTTTTTGACTAGAAATAATAATTCACATAATAATAAATATATAATTATTTACTAGTTCAATTTTATTTTTTTCAAAGATTCTATCTGTTCATTTATAACGGAAATTTCTTGGCTGTGTTTGTGTCGCATTTCGGTAATAGTGATTTCATGTGATTGTGTATCTTCTTCTAATGATTTTTTTAAGGTTGCCAACTCCTAATAGGAAACAAAATATATGGATATAAAGATACTTCAAAGGTTAAGCATGGGAGTTTATGAAAAATAAATAATAAAAATATATAATAATTGTACCTGTTCTCGTTTAGCTCTCAGTTCGTGCTGAGCTGCTGTTATGTCCAAAGAATCCAAAAGTTCATGTTTTAAAGCTTCAAGTTCTTCATTAAGGTCACGTTTTTGTTTCTCAGCCTTACTTCTTGCAGTACGTTCAGCTTCAAGGTCTTCTTGAAGTTCACCAAGTTGTGATTCTAGTTCTCTAAGAGCCTTCTGAGATTGAGCTTTGCCTGTAAAATATTATTTATATTTATTAACTGAACACATTATACATAAAAGTATAAATATTTAATAACATACTAGCTGCTTCTTCATCAATTCTCATAAATGCCTGAGTTAATTCTTCTTCTCGTTTACCAAGTTGCAATTGTAAATCTTCTACTTGAGCTTTCTTTTCATTCAGTTGTTCTTTCAAATCATTAACCTTGAAATAATGTTTTAACATTATAATACATTGTTTTAAATATAAATCAGAATGCTCACCTCAGTCTCAACTTTACGCTTAGTACGATCCATCTCTTGTCTTTGTTGATTATCTTTTAATAAGCGTTCTTCTAATTCAGATATAGTTGTCTCATGTTTTGCTTTTAATTTAGCTAAATGCTTAGCTTTTTCTTCTTCTTCGGCTAATGTTTGTGCCAAATCTGAAGCTCTTTCTTCTAAAACCTTTTTTTCTTTTACTAGTTTTATATTAGTATCTTCAGCAAGTGCAAGATCTTCTTCTAACTTTTTGAGTTTGGCATCTGTCTGTACACGTTCTAATTGGAGTTTCTGTCTCGCACCTTCTTCTTCTTCTAATTGTTCTTCCAAATCCTAAAAGCAAAAATAATTTAAATGTTAATGTGAAACTCATTATTAAAATTTCAATACATGGTACTTACATTAATATTTATTTGTAATTTTTTCTTCTCTTGAGCTAAGGAACTAGATCGTTCTTCTTCTTCTTCAATTCTTGCTTCCAAATCGTGAAGTATTTCTTCTAGTTCTAATTTCCTTGCAGCAAGTCTAGCTCTCATTTCTTCAGCTTCAGCACATAATTCAACTTCTGCTTGCAGTTGTTCAGCCAAAGCGTTTTTCTCGTCTACTGCTGTTTGATATCTAAAATGTCATTGTATAAATAATTATAATTTTCTAAAAATTAAATAATTTAATAAATATACTTTTTTTCTAGTTCAACAACCCCACGCTGTTGAGATTCTAATTTTTCCTTGACTACCTTTAATTCTTCTTCTTTAATGGATAATACTTCTTCTTGTTTAGTAACTTCTAATAATGGCTTAACTTTGGTGTATAATCTCCACCATTGCCAGTTTCTCAGTTTTAAGTATGCTGAGCAATTTCGCTGAATAATACGAATGGCATTTAACTGTTGTAAACGTTTTTGATAATTTCTTCTAGCTAAATATCCTCTGCAGAAAGCCTGAAATCAAAAGATACAAGAAGAACTAAGTATTTATAAATTTATATTAATCAGAGATACATACTTGGAAATTCACAATAAGATCAGAAATTTTAAAGTCTCGTTCTTCTTCTAAATGAGCAAGTACACCAGCTCTGAAGAATATTTTTGATTGACCAACACGATAGAGATTTGTATCGAGTTCAAGAGCTTTAATCATTTTTTCACAAGCCTTTTTGCCATCCATGAAACCTTTGGGTATAGCATTAGATGTAAGCAATTCATACCGTTGTCTGAACTCCTGGAATGGAATTCGATTGGGAAAACCTTGTCTACAAATTCTTATTCCTTCTAACACTCCATTGCAACGTAACTGATCCAGCACAAGTTGAGCTTCAATTTTACCAGCTCTTTTTTCATGATTAGGGATAATACACCTCACAAAATTAGGATTTGTATTTCTCAAAGTTATCATCAACTTATTTAATTGTTCTTTATATAATTGTGATACTGTACGGAACATTCCTTTTCTTGTCCGTGCTCCAAATTGTGTATCTGTAAGAGCTTGATGTGCTATACCAACAATTTCAGCATCCTTCCAAATGTGTGCAACAAATGGATCTTGAGATGTTTGAAGAAGTTGAACAATGTTTTCATTCAATGGGTCCATGTTCTTCATTAACCACTTATGAGCAGAATAATCAACTTTTCCAGCATAATGGATTATAGAAAAGTCAGCAACACCTCTAAAGTCAGTTTTATGGAATTTTGGATGTACACTTTGAGCAGACATTAATTTTTCTACAAATGATTTATCAGTAGCTTTTGGGAACCAACATTCTTCATCCAATAAAGCCATAACACCCATAGGCTATTATAAAATATCAAAATAATTACAAAAACTTAGGAAAAATAAAATGTTTATTATAAAAATCCTTACTTTATCAATAAGATCAATAGTAGGTTGTAAATCCAAACCAAAATCAATGAATTTCCATTCAATACCTTCCCTTTGATATTCTTCTTGTTCTAAAATAAACATGGTATGATTGAAAAGTTGCTGCAGCTTCTCATTTGTATAATTAATGCACAATTGTTCAAATGAATTCAACTAATTAAACAAAATAAATTAAAATTAAAAATTGATATAAATAAAAAAAATTATAACACAAAAAATTACTTCAAATATTTCAAATCCAGCCATATCTAAGATGCCGATAAATGAAGCTCCTTGTCTTTTAGATCGATCCAAAGAACGATTAATACGGTTAACAAGCCAACGGAACATACGTTCATAACATGCTTTTGAAATAGCTTCCACTGCAAATTCTACTTGTTCTTTTGTCTGAGCTTTAGACACATAATCTCTGCCTACTTTGATACGAGGTCGAAGGAAGGCTTTGGTCATTTCAGTAATTGATAAACCCAAAAGATGAGCTACTTTTTGTGCAACTGTATTATCAGGTAATGTTGCTTGATCACTATTACGTTCTTGTTTAAATTGCATATTACCAAACAACATAACAGCACTTACAATTCGGAAGATAGCTGTAAAAAAATTGAAAAGTCATATACATTTATTCATAGGTAAACATTTACAGCGGAACAAACCAGAATAATCTTCAGTAGTCATTCCCATGATATTCATAGCATTTACTGTTTCTTTAAACTCAGCAGCATCATCTACACCAGGAACAGGGAGATTTCCATTTGTAAGGAAACTATAAGTTTTGGGATCTTCAAGAATAAACTCCTCTATGGAAACGTATAAATTAAATTTAATTAGAATTTTACTTTTGTTTTATACTATCTTCATAAAGTAATAAAATAATTTATTTTATAATTTTATTTGAAAATAAAAATTATATACTCTTTTGTTCAGACGATGCACCACAAACAAGCTGGTAGAAAATGTGGAATGTACGTTCATCTTTAGCTTGACGTATAGCTCTTGATTTTTCCAATAAGTATGTTTCAATGTTAGCACCAGCAATAAAACCAGACGCATCAAAATTTATACGAATAAATTTACCCTAAAATAATTTAAAAAGCATAGTTAGAATTATTTATTTCTGAGTTTTGAATAACACTTACAAATCTGGAAGAATTGTCATTTTTTACAGTTTTGGCATTACCAAATGCCTCTAAAATGGGATTTGCTTGTAATAGTTGTTGTTCAAGTTCACCCTAAAAAAAAAAAAAAATTAATTCAGTTAATCTATTAAATTAGCATTTTTATTACTTACCTCAAAACTAACATTATTATTACACTAGTAAAGTAAATATTTCATCAATCCAAATGGAAAGCATGCAAAAATTGTAGTAAAATAATGTTAATCATTTAATTAAACCTAATTTAATAAATTACCTAATGTAATTAGGTAAATTATTTCATGTGATTGTTCAGTAAAAGTGTAAATATATAATTTTTATACACAATAAAATACTTATATATGCAGTGCTTGACTTGAGGGGGATGCAGGGGAATGGAGTACCCCATCTAATTTTTAGAAATTTTAGTGTCCCCCTACTATTATGACGTTATAATTATACCGCTCAACAAGTCTTGGGGACGATATTTTTCTTTAAAGTAAACAGAATTCCCCTTCATTAATTTTGCCAAGTTGAAGAACACTGTATATATTTTGTATAACATAAATATATTTATTCTCATATTAAACATGAAAATATAATATTACTGTTAATATTGATTTCAAAATAGATTATATTCTATAATCTATAATCAATGCTATTAATAAATATGAGATTCAACAAATTATTATGCAACATAATTTATACTTACAACAACTAAAGCTGGGCCAGGCGACTATAATGTTCCAGGGAAGAAACATGAAAAACAAAATACACAAATAAGTAAATAAAATGTATATTAATGTATTGTATACAAAAGTATTGGAAATAAATAGTTGTAGCACTAGCTTAAATAGTATTAAGTATTTTAAATAAATAAAATGTTAAATAAAAATAACAAAAAAAATAATAATTCTAGCATATTTTAAAAATATATAATCAGTTTTTTAATACTTAACAACTAAGGATAAAAAGATTCATTCTTTAATAAATTTAATTGGGCAGGGTAATTCTGTTAAAAAAAAATAACTCAAGACAGCTAATAAAGGCTGCTAGCAAATTTATTCAAACCTTTTTTAGTAAAAACTAAAATGCAAAATATTATGCAATAATTTTTTCTGAATACATATTATTACAAAAAATATTATAAGCAGGTAAATAAATAGACAAATAAAATAATGAGAAATGTATCCAAAGCAAAAATATAGTTTTTTACTATACTAAATCTAATAGAAGTCAAACAATTTAAAATATTTTACAATAGACTATACTTATTATGTATTCAATACAGTCACTCCGTGTTTTATAGGAATAAACAGTTGTCATAGATAAAATATTGCTATACAATAATATATAGATATACTAATAGTAAATAGTTATCAGTTATAATTCTTTAATAGGAATCTAGTACTGTACTGAAATATGTATATCATACATAATTTAAAGAACGTTGACATATGTATTAAAAATATAATTGAATCAAAAGCATAAATTAACTTAATCAAATAATTTTAAATAATTATAAATTGAATAATAATTATCGATAAGTATTTTTCTTATCAGTATAAAGTAATAATCCTAAATATACTATACAGTGCGATATTTGTACGCACACTCAAGAAATATTTATCAAAGGCTAGCATGTAGCTTTCAGGAAAAAAAAACTACCTAAGTATTAAATACTAATACCAACTAAAGAACCTGTTTGTATTATCTTTTATTTGGGTAGAACCACTCGTAATCTACACGGTTCCTTTATGTTCATAAATAACGATGACTGATTAAGTGATGAGTTATGACTAATAAACAAATTATTTTTAAAAAGAATGTTATCTCACTTATTTTATATAGTATTGAAAACATTTATTTGAAATAAATTTGGAAAATTAATATCGAAACAAAATTAAAAAAAAAAATCATTATTTATTATTTTGCAATTACACAGATTCATCACATTTTACTTTTTGTTATGGTTTGGAGACAGTACGTGGATTTCATTTCAGCTACCTATAGCTCTACAATTTTGTTTATATGCATGAAGGCACGTCATAAATTTATGTTTGATATTGAGAATATAAAAAACTTAATAAAAAAAATTCAGCGATATGAAAAATGATAATTACCAATACGAATATTTTAATTTTATCTTTCAAGGTATCATTCCTTTGAGTTTTACATTCTTCGTGGTTTTTGTGTTGAATTGCGATTTCTTTTCTCCCATTTAAATTCACGTTTGTATACGCAGCATACAAGGAACGTGATGATTAACATAAACGTGTGACAAAGACGACGTTATGCATAAAACGACTTGCTCTAACAACATATAAAAAACGTAGCCTTATATGTTTTATGGACCCATTACACTATGTCTAAGAAATAGGACTAATGAGCCCGAGTTGTTCTTATCATCGAATACAGACTATCACATATGGACACAGATTGTTTCCTCGAGGTTTGTGTAAATATAAATGTTGCATTCGTTGTTGTTAATATGGTATTATTTAGTATATTTTGCAATTCAAGTTATGAACGTTACAATATTACATTATTATTAATAATGTTTTTAAACAAACCGTAATAATTTGTAAACAACAATTACAAATATGTCCATCAGCTGAACATATATACGTTTTATTATACGTTCGAATAATTCAATTGGGAAATTTAGGATTATTTTTGTTGTGAAATTCAAATCTAATAATTTAGTAAAACAATATTAGTATAATTAATATTAAATAATATTATTACATCCGCAGATAAAATCGATAACTAACAATAAAATTCAACTATTTATCATACCCTTTGCATATCCCATGGATTTCAAAAAAATACTTCAATATTTTTCTCATAAATTGGAATAACATTTTTCAAGTATTTTAATAAGATATAAGGCTCACCATATATAAATCAGACGGCAACCTTAAATAATTAGTATAAGTTATAATGGGAATAATAATAACGAATGTTCTGATTAAGTAAGGAATTATAGTAAATAAAATATTAATGTTTTTTCTTTTACATGCACCGTTAAACTAAGTACATTTTTTAAAATCACATTCACGAGACCAGTTGAACACATATTGTTTCTCTCCAACGTCGTGATAAGAACAAGGTGCTATTATTTAAGGCAAAGCGGTGGGTTTAGGGACAACTTTGAATCAACCAAGAGCAAAACGCAGCGAACGGGTAAATTACAAAATATTATTTCGTTGTTTGATTTTAGGAAGGATTTTTAACATCGCCGCGGCGCTATCACTATAATAATTCCATAATAGGTCTTCTTTGACTGTAATAGGTTGTTGTACTAATACGAAAAAAAATCGTCAATTCAAACAACAGACAGAAGGCCACACGGCCAATAAATGAGTTCTATTTAACATTAATACGTCGTAATAATATACAACACTATGCGTATAAAAAAATAAGACAACTGCTATAAACTACTACAGAAAATCTTATTGCGTTAATTTTTACTATTACTATTTTTTTTACACTATGATTTATTAGCTATGAATAAACATGTGTGTATAAACATACAAACGCCGCATTTGATGTAGCTGTATCTTTATTAATAATTTCTCCAGTTTTGGATTATTATTAATTGCTATTGTAGCTATTTATTTTTAATTTATGACATGTCTCTAACTTACTAACAATGAGAAAAATCAATCTAATATCATCATATTTATACATCTCAATATATCTCACAATTACATCTATATATTTATCTACGACATGGTAAACTGATACTACATTTCAAAGAAAAATTCCAGTGATTTAATTAAATACGAAAAACTTGCATCGACTAAAATATTTTATTATTGTAATAATTGCATAATGCGATATTTACCACATTTAACTATTTAGTTTTTAAAAATTACAATTATTCAAATATAAATCTGAATTTATTGAAACCAGTGTCGAAAAAATATTGTGTATTTCTGGACGATAAATTTTCAATTAAATGAATGTTCTGTTTTATAAATATCTAATTGCTTATAGAATCCTAAAAGTAAAACCTATGATTTGAAGTCAACAGTTCCTCAAACAATAAATAGTGAACCACGTTTGATAAATTCCATTTAAATAAACTGTTTAATTTATTAAGTTTGGACAGTTCGGTTTATTAATTATAATATTTATAATAGATTATAAGTAAATTAGGGTATCACGTAAAAAATAAGTAGTGACAAAAATATACAAACACAAATATTTAAAAGTATTAAAAAAAAAACTTTCAAAGATATTGTGAATCGTCGCCACTGGGATTTTTTTTTTTTTTTAATGAAGACTAATTTCGATGTATAATTCTAATAATAGTTAAATCATTAATTCGTAATCAAAATATATGTATATAAAGATTTTTTAATAATTAAAATAACGAAAAAACGTAATCAAGGCATTAAAATCTTAATTATTAAAGATTATGTATTCTTAATTTCAAAACAACAAATATAAAGTAAGAAATAAAAAAATTGATTTTGTTAATAAATGCAGACTACCGTCTTATTGGTGTTATTAAATATTTATAAAAATTAAAAAAATGTCAAATAAAACAATTTTACTACCTATATAAATAACTATATTGAAATATATTTTAAAAAATATCTCGAAATGACTTCAGTTGAACACACACACACACACACATGATTAACACAATCTACTGTAAATTAGATTTATAGATTGCATAAATTAATTAATTATTTAAAGAGAGAGAAAACATTATAATTACAAGTTGCTAAGTAAACTAGAATTAAATATAATTGAATACGGAGATTTGCAGTTACAGTTTATCACACGCGTAACATAGTATTTTATTGTATACATATTTATGTCCAATATACTGATCGATCTAGAAAGAAAATATGGATTTTAAAAACATATTTGAGTATTACTGTAGCCTACTTAAGACAGACTTCCATACAGTTTATTTTAATCCTTTTAGATTCCACCCAAATAAATCAGGATAGTCTAAAATTAATTATCCTTAGTTTTAATAACTTTAAGATATAAATGAAATCAATTAAAAAATTGAACCTCACTTCTGGATTTTAATTGGTAGTAAAAATTCTTCTCGCCTCACTAGGTTGATTAGAACGTTTGATAGTACAATAAATACTTACTAATTTAGGCGAATGTTACACTAGTAATAGACACTAGACAGTAAAACACCGTGCCCGATTCCTTAATTAAATTATCATCTTAATTTAAATGTATTACTCAAGGCTAGAGGCATGAATATTAATACAAACTTAGGGATATCGAAAAAAAGCTCATAAAAATATAGATGTTAAAATCGATTTGTTAACTAATTTTACTTTTAGTAAACATCAATTTTTCGTTATACTTATATACATACATTCATTTTATGATAGTTTTATAAGCACTTAATTAAGATGAAAAAACAGAGGTTAGTACATTTCAATTACAAAATTGTTTAGCATTTACAAATTCTGATAAATTTTAAAATATTTAGTATTATATTCCAATATAAAATATTTTAATAACATTTTTAAAACATAAAACATTTAAAATAAATCGGAGCTTAAATATTTTATGTTGAAAAATTAAGCTTTCCAAAGTGGTTAATCTGGGTTATAAATGAATTTTGAAACTAAAAATAATTTATAAAATTAAAATTTTTATAAGTAGATAATTATGATTTAAAATTATTATTATTTTACTGTTTTATTTTAAAATAAAGTAAAACAATTTTTACTTAGACAGTAAAACTTTGAGTATAACATACACTTGTTTTCCTAATAGTAACGTTAATAGCAGCTACTTTGTCTTTCAATCAATGACAATTCAATGATATGGTAATGGTATAATTAGTATCTATTCGCATACCCAAAAAGAGGTTAATGCATGCAATAATCATATGTGTGTTTCGGTAACCATACGGATGTATTATATAAGTAATATGTGAATTTGCACATGACACGATTAAGAAAAGAAAAAATTGTGACCATATGCGGGAACTGATCAGTTTGGCGCCAAATAAGGCAACAAACTTCAACTTCATCCTTGTAGATCTACGGGAGTCCGATAAATCTTGACATTATACTTTCACTGTAAGCATTCGTTCCTCTACAATATGGAATAGATTGACATTTTTTCTTTTTAACGAAATCATTCTACCAAATGGATATCAAATGAATTATTACTACTATTATTACTATTCGCTCATTTGAAAAAATAGGATTTTAAAAAATATTAAAAAAAAAAAAAAATAGTAAGAATGTTTGTCAAAAACCAGCGACTGAATTTGGATTTATCATTTTAATACGAAAATCAGCGTGTAAGGTCGCTGGAACAGTGAGTAAATTAATAATTAGGCATTCAACGGAAACCGCCTAGATTTGAATTGACTATACTGACGATACAGAAATTGACGATTATAACTCCATGATAGTAAAGTTAGACATGAATATTTTTACTGTCTTTGGGTCCATTCATGGGTGTTTAGCTGTAAACAACAATGACGTGTTCGCTATTATTCCAAACAAAATAAGGACAGATTATATATTGTTCGAGCCAATAAAGATAATAGCTTTCACCGTGTTTGCCGCCACCGAGTAATGATTCGTGCACATTGCACACGCCGCGCAGCTCTTTAAGGCAAATATTAATATTCAACGGATGAAAATACAGGTACATACAAGATAAATGTATATCGTGCGTCAATCATACAGCAATAGTAGTATAGGCCAAGTACATTTGCGCCTATCAATTAGAATGATAACAAATCACTAAGATATATAATCAGTGTAATTTTTGATACGACTCTAGGAAACATATGGTCATAATAGAACAAATATGGAAAGAAATATTGCTAACTTATAAAGTTAAGGTCAACTCCATTCTGGTTATAACAGTACACTAGCTTCATCGTAAGCATCGACGGATAAAAATGGATTTTTAGCACAGATTTCTTACAAGTGCACTATAGTAGGTTTTTACACGCATCCATCGGTATATGATACTTGTCTAATGAATAAAACAACAAAATTGATAACTAAACGCTTGCAGATTAAAAATCACGGGTTATTACATGAATTACTTTTCAGATATCTATCTAAGAGCCTAATATAGAAGTGGGAGTGGTTTTAAGTAAAATCAACATTACGCCTTCATTTCAAACCTACAGAAATGCTGATGTACAAAATCTACACTTATAACACTAATATCCAACATATACGTATAACATCGCTATTCGTTGTACTAATGTAATGGTATTTTTCTATTTCTAAAAGATATAAAGCAAACACACTAAATTATTTTGAAATATAATATATTAAACTGACAAGAGAAGAAATATATTAAAATATACCTAATTTATTTCCGTTCATTATTCCATTAAAATATTGTAAGTAACTAAGTTTATAAGCGTAGTTGAAATGTTTAATATTTATTTATTTTAGATTTCAATTGTTTTTCTTATTTATTTAAATAAGAAATAGATTATTTTATTTGATTAATTGCTAATTGATTAGGTGAGAATCAAGACTTAGATTAAATGATAAGCAGATCGAATTTTTTATAAATACAATATGACTGATATGAAGTTACTTACAGCGTGTTGAATCACTCCCTTGGGTTTGGATGCTGCTACGTAAGCTAGGTATTGGATTACTTTTTTCGTGTTTTCTGTTTTTCCAGCACCTGATTCTCCAGTACATAATATTGACTGATCTTCGCGATCTAAAATGTCAAAAATACATAAACAATTTAAATATTTTGTTTCATCAACTAAAAAACTCATCATTATTATTTCTTTAATAAAAATATTTATTAATGTAACCTTGTAACATCGATCTGTATGCAGTATCGGTGACTGCAAATACGTGAGGTGGTACTTCATGCCGTTTATTGCCTTTGTAACGTTCCATTATGTTTTCTGTGTAAATGGGTAATCTTTTGTACGGATTCACTACTACACAAAAGAGACCCGAATACGTCTGCAAATATACAAAGAAAAATTTAGAATATAAATGTAAAACCATTTTAACATAATAGCGAAATCCTAATAAATGTAATGATTTGCAGTAAGGATTTAAAAAAAATTTTTTTTTTAGAAATTACTCATTTGTATGCATACATTTAGTCGTTAATATTGTACACTATTACGATAGATCTAAGAATATAGATTAACCATTAAATTTTCTTTTTGCATTTTTTTAAGGGTATATTAATATTGTTGTCGTTTAATAGTTAAACTTTATCATATTCAGTATTGTTATTAATTTATCTAGAGTTAACAGGATAGGATACACAGCTATTTAGTGGATATACAACTAATTTTAAGGACAACTATTTAACAAATGAAAATACTAACCATTAAAAATAACAATGATTTTAAAACATAAATAATTTTATACTATTGTATATTATGACGATATAATCATTTTATAACTTATAAAATACCTGTATTTATAGTAAAATTAGGGTTTTAAAATAATAAAAAAGCTAAGGAATTCTAGTAGGTTTTGTGATAAAAATTAATTTAAAATAAATATAACAATCAGTTACAAACGAATCAGGACTTTATTATAAAATCAAAATGCAAAAGTTAAAATTCCAATATTCTTTTATTTTGATTATTCAAACAGAGAATGTCAAGACTCAAGATAACTACAAAAAAAAACCTGTTGTACACTAACAACATCCGTTGTCGGAAAAAATACATTTTATACATTTAAGTGCTTACTTCTTAGATATTTCCATGGTAAAAAAAACAATTATATTTTTTCAAATATAAGTTACACAATTCAATAGTCATATTAATAATATATGTAGAGAATAAGTGGTAAAATACTTTAATAATAATAGATACCTTTTGGATAAACTACGATAAAAAATCCAAGGATTTAAATTTTTAGATTTGAATAGAAGTAAAAAATATCTCTAATTACTATTAAATTCTCAAATTATATGTATTGATAATATTATATAAAATAGAAACTAATGTTTAATTATAAGATAGAATAATTATACTTTACATATAATAATTTAATAATGAAATACATCTTATAATGTATTCACAATATGTCATATGTCAATTTAGAATCTAAAATATCAATGTTTCACGATTTTCAAGGAAATACTGAAATTCCCTATCGTTTAAAAGCATCCTATCGAATCGCCTTTTAATTATTATTTAAACACGGTTAATAACTTAATTAGGAAATACTTTTTTTTCTTTTTTAAAAAAAATTTAAATATAAAAATTAATTGAATGAGTTTTTTAAGCAATGATTTAATTTTTAAATGGCAATATTGCACTGACAATTCAAAATAAAAATAGTTCCTCCTTACAGTTACGTAAATAAAGAAACTAATTAAAAATTAGTTCTCATAATATTCTTTAATAAATTTAACATAATTTGTTTTATATTAACTTCAGATATATTTTTCACAAAAATAAAAAATAGTTCTCGAATATTTATAGGACTAAGAAATAATGAATAAATACATGGGTACCAATATTAGTACTATTACTAAAGCTAATAAAATTTACTAAAAGTTATAAAAGATCACATTTATTTTAATAACATATTATTGAAATAACTGCAAGTCATTTGACCTATTTGATTTCTACAAGAATTTTGGAATGGCCGTTAAATCTGATTAAACGGTGATAATTTCCCAACAAATTCCGTGAATGATTCAGTACACCCGACAAGGTTTCTCCTTCGTTTTGTAATATCATTAACTCAAAAATGGACCAGGATTCCAACATACCATTATTGTTGCGATTACTAATCGGTTACGACAAATTACATTTATACAGTACACTATAGTCAATAATAGTGGATACGGCCTCAAAAAAATAAAATAATAAAAATCTAGAAAATATAGGTAATTAAGAACAATAAATTAGTCCATTAAATATTAATAATTCAAACACAACGATTAAATAAAATTATATAAATAGAAAAGGAGAATATAATTTAAAAAAAAACGCATATTTGTTGGAAAAGTGTCATATATGTTAGATGACTCATGGGCTTTACTCATTCTTCGGACATGACCACTCCTCTTTTAAAGAATACGCGTATGGAACTACACGCAGTATGCACAGTAAATATTAATTATAATATTGCATAAAAATATTTTGACTATTTACAAAGAATTATTAGAATGAAACATTTTAATGTATTAATAAGTTCTGGTTATACAACTTATACTAAAAACAATTTTAATAAAATGCTTCACTTCGTTTCGAACTATTTAGCTTCAAAAATATAATAATGTAATAATAACTATGATAGATTAAACATTTAAAACATTACGAAAAAGTATTATAGAGTTCAACAATATTTACTGTTATTTCATTAAATGGTTCGATTTGAATATACTGAGAATATATATAAATAAATAAAATATACGAAAAATTCCGTTTAAACTGTCAATTCATTTTTTCCTATATATTTTAATTCTTGATTTATATATAAAACCGCAGCAATAACGATAGTTATTGATTAAAAAATAGTGAAATTAAATTAATAATAAAATTAGCAAATATTATTTATTAAATGATTCTATTGAAAATTACAAAACACTTCATTACGTAGAACATTGCATCAAATATTTTTGATTTTTAATCATAAATAGTTATTTCTACCATTAAATTGAATTTGATCTTAATCAATTAGTCTTTTATCAGCAATATAAAAACAAACAATTAAAACCATTTAAGTTTACGTCAATAAATCAATAATTTTTACGAGTTTTATATAACAGATTGATAAATTTTGGGAATTTTAAGTAGCAATTTATACTAACTATTCTACTCTGTATTTACGTATTACTTTTAAAGCTGTTACATTAGTATTGGGGTGTTCGTAAAAATTATTTTATTAATGCATAAAGATTATATACCAAACAAATAGTTGATTTATCTAGGTTTTATTTTACAATCGAGTATTAATGTTATGTTATATGATGGTGGTCACTAACCAAAATCATGAATGAAAAAACAAGGAATATAAGTATATAGATCTCATAAGTCATGATAATTTATTTCAGTTAAATTATAATATAAAATGAAAACATGGAAAAAATAAGCTAAAAAGTATTATACATAATAAAGGTTAATAAGACTACGAGGGTGAGTTGTTCAGACAAGATTATGTCACACTGGCTGACCTGAGATGACCTGTCTGCATTCCTAAGTGCTTAATAAGAATAAAGATTGTGGTGTTTGGGTACATTTTAGAAATCGAAACTCGAACGTTACTGCTTCATTTCTTAATGAACGAATTTAAAAAATGAATTTAAAAAAATACAAAACTTATTTTTAGAAAAAAAAAATATTCGTAGTGTGGTTTTTACATATGATTGTAAGTTTGCGTAGAAATACAGAAACAACAATCTAAAAATACTACGTTTAAACTAACTACTACTATGTTGACCACCACATGTATATTTGTATATTAAAATATCTATATTTTGTAGTTATTCTATTTTTGTATTCTAGATATTTTTGAGAAATATTTCTATATCATTCACTAAAATAATTACTAACCAAAAGTAAAAAATGAAGTTGTAAATAAGTAAATAAGTATGTATAGATTCTGTAACATTAATCAAACAAATAAAATATACCAATGAAAGTATATACCTACAAAACAATAATACTAAAAATATTGATCAACTTATTTAATTTAAAATGTCAATTTGAATTTTGTTACATATTTATTACTTAATAATAACTACATTAACTATAAATAATATAATAATATAATATGCGTTTAATAACAAAACAAAAGTTTTAGTACTTTTGATTTAATAAATCTTAAATTTATAATTGATATCAGATTCTACAATATAATATCTTAGTTAATTTATGTATGTTTAACTGCTATAGTAAAGAAGACTGTATGTATTTACCATCATTATTTTATACACATTAATTATGAAGACATTTAAATATTTTAGATTATTTATAAGCTGCTATTAAAAATTATATTGATGATCAGTACCTATTACATTACCATAGTTATACTTATCTTTATAACTAAATAATTTTTATTAAATTAAATTAGGATAGAAATACGCTCAATAAATCATAGTTTTGAAATTTAATATGAAATTTTTGTTACAAATGATTTAAAAAAAAATTCAAAATATAAGTGTATTGTTAACTAAATACCAAGTTTATAAGAAAGTACTTAAATTTAAAATAAACCACAACTGTATTACACATATATGTCAATTTTAAATACATAAATGTAGAATAGGAATGTATGATTTAATAAGAGAATATTAGTAGTATATATATAGCATTTATGACTCTTGTAACAACAAATCATTTGGTAATAAGTAGTCATATTTTATATTTTTATTACAAGGAATTTGATCAAAACAAATAACTAGAAATCTTAGAAATCTATTAATTTTATTCCATTAAACTGGTTATGTAATAAGAGTTAAACCTTACATTCACACTATATGTATTAATTAAACATTACTATTTAATATTTCCATTTATACAATATTGAACTATAACATGACTATACTTAACCATTGACTTAAACTAATGGGAATAGCAGGATAGTTGGTTGCCTTTCTTACAAATGTATAGGGATTCAGGATTTTCTTAAGTGATACAAAAAATCTGATAAATTTGAAGCATAAAAGTTCTAATGGAATATAAGTATTTGTATTTCTTGAAATATCCAGAGATCAGTCTTGTTGATTATGTTTTTAAATTTAAATTATTTTGAGGTATATGTAGGTAAACTAGTAATGGTAATTGAAAATTTTTTTGAGATCATTAGTCTTATATATTGGTGTAGTATTTATATTGTTTTTTTTGGTTTATGGGTTATTGGTTGTGAGATACATGTCTCGCCCAGAAATCAAAACCTCCGGTAACGAGTTCAAACATACAAATGTACAATTAAATTAGCTACCTAACCTCGCTTGCGGTGGTGGAATGGGTACCTAGGAGCCCCTGGGGAGATCAACAGGACCTTTTATTATTACATATTAATTAATAAATATTTTTAGTTAATTGTGCCCAATTCATCCAATTTCGGATATTTTAATAGTAAATGATTGGTGTTTTACCATTATATTTTAATATTACATTTTGTATATGGGTAATTAATATGACACTATGAAGGGCCCAGGAGACGATCACCCTTTTGCCTCCTTGGCCAGTCAGCTCCTGCCCGCTTGACCACAACACCTCCTTTTTGCTATTTATAAGAGTTAAAAGTAAAATTTCCTAAAATAAAGGTGATGTTTTAAAAAAAGTTAAGATAAAGTATAAACAGTTTTACAATGATTAAAGTTAAATAACGATACAGAGTAATTTTTAAATCGTGAGTATAGAAAGAAATGTATATTTACATTAATATATTAAAATACATATAAATACATTAATATATTTTTAAGCTTTTTTTTAATCAAACTTTAAATAAGTACCCAACTTAAGTTTTGGCAGAACTAAATAAATATGATACAATTTTTTTATAAAAATAATATTTGGGTTCATATGATTTCGTATTTAAGACTTGAAGAAAAATAATTTGAATTTATTTATTTAATTATCTAAAGCACAAAATGTGAAAGAAATAGACTATGCTTTTTTAATTGTATTTGAATTTATTTTCTACCTACACTGTTATGAAGATCTAAAATAAACCTATTGTTATAAGTAAACATGTATAAAAACACTTAAACATACAGTTACAATAAATTTATAATTTAATGAAAATAAATTATATGAACTATTCAAATTAAACAAGTAAAAATGTAGGTAAGGGATATTATTGACAACCTTGTATTATTGACTACTTGTATAATTTTGAAGCCTAATATGGCTTATAAATTATCTTAAACCATATAAAACTTTCACATTAAAACCATTGCAATTTAACTAGTTACTTGTCTAAATTTTTATATTTTATTAATATTGTCAAATATATACATCTACAATATAAATTATTTATTCATTCATTTCACCAAAATTAGTTTTAATAAAAATTATACAGTAAAAAAGTACATAATTTAAATTCAATCAAATATCTAATGAAGATTTAGAAAGTATTTATACAAAGAACTTTGAAACTATTGAAATCAAATTTTAAACTTGTTACAAAATTAGTATCTCAAATTTCAAACTTATATAAATTGGAAATATATATCCCTAAATAATTATTAAGAAATATTATGATTAGTATCCAGATTTATATCATATACCTACTTAATTTAGTTATTTAGAATACTTGATATAATATAAATACCATACGCATTAGAATTTATATTATATCAGGTATTTTATCTACACACTTAAAATTATTATTATTTGATATAATAGACTAAATTAAACTAAAAATAAAATTCAAAATATATTGAAAACTGAAAAAATTCAATAGACAGAATAATTAATCAAAAATTCCAATCTGTTGACTAACTTATGAATCACATTCATTTAATAAGTACATTTTTTAGTTGCCAATCAGATTGGCAACTATTCATATTCAAGAAAAAAAAAGTTGCTTATTTCAGCAAATTAATAAATAATATTTTATGAATAAGCCATTGGTATATAAAAGAAAATAAATATGATCATGAAATATTAATTACTCATAAATTAATAATTGAGATCAGAAAACCAATTTTAGCTTATGAGAAGTTATGTATGATAAGCAAGATTTTTAAAATTGTTCAACTGTGTAATTTGAAGATTTTAACAAGTAGGTAGTTATTATGAGTAGAGTTTTTGTCAGAATTTTTTCATAATAGTTCAAAAAAATCATGACATGTTTTTAACACTATTATATGTGTAGGTTAGCGCCTATAGGTACATCAATTTCTGGCAATGTATCAGAAAAACAATTATGTTTTACCATGTTAAGTACCTTGTGCACATGCCCAGGAACAACATCAACACTTGTCAAACCACTGTGATAATTTGATAAGAGATATAATTCAAATGGGTGAATAATTTGCTTAAAATCAAATTGTTCAAATGAAAAAAAAATGATAATAGGTATTTTCACTTACGTATATCAACCCAGAATAGTAACGGTCTTTGATATTGTGAAGTACACAGGCTTCATTCAGACACGTTAACTCAGCCATATCTTCACTCTTGTCAAACTTGGGTGGATTCATTTTTTGAATCATGTCCTTGTCAACAAGTGTACGCTTGCCGGTTTCGGCGATCTCCACCTCAACCTCGTCGCCTCGCTCGCCCTTGATACCCGCGGACACGAAGCCCTGGGTCTCGTGGGGCACCCACACCAGACGTTTCTGAGTCCATTCCGCTTGTGTGGGCTGATCGTTGAGCTGGTTGCGATCGACGGCCAGGTATTTCATGAACGGATCCGAACGGTCGGTATCCATGTCCATAGCTGCGCGAGTGTCACTTCTCCGACACGCACTCACAGCACACGGCGGACAGGAATAAAAACGTTAAAAAAAAAAAAAAAAAAGAAAAAAATAAGTGAAACGAATAAATAAAAACCTATGACGTTAATCGGTACGCGGATGAAAAATCCCAAGTCCGGTTTCGCGCGCGAGTCGGTTACGAGAAGTCGGTGGCGAACACAATATCCGGATTGTCGCTACGCATCTGGCGGTGGTGGTGCCCGGTGTCTGCGCGACGACGGCGTCGGCGGCGGCGGCGGCGGCGGCGGCGGCGACGGCGACGGCGGCGGCGGCGGGGACGACGACGACGAAGAAGAAGAAGACGAAAACGGTCGACGATGGTACGTCTATTTTATTCCGTGGAGAAAACACCGACGCGACGTGTACGAAATACTTGGTGTCCTTATGGGCTGTCGTTGCAATGCACGCAACGGTCAGGTGATATTGTGCGGTGTTATGACGTGATATCGGTGCGGCGCGTAACGCGGCTGATATTGTTGTTCGGTGTGCTATCGCTGTGCCCGCGTCGAACGTTGTTTACCCGCCGACGGTTCGCGTTGTAATGTGCGTGCGAGCAAGTCGTGCTGCTGCTGCTGCTGCTGCTACTACTGGCTACCACCGGTTACTATACAACCATTGTGCCGCTGATCGGTGCCGTACCTGGGAGAAGCGGTTCTTTATTATACACACGGTCCCGCGGTGGGATGACGACGGACCGCGCGCTGTAACACGCCGATAAACATAACCAACGGGCGATGACGTACGGTGCCGCCGATACGAGTACGCGGTATTGCCCGAGCGCGACGTGCGCACGCACACGCCACACGGCGACCGACCGGCGCGCGTACGGGTGCGTGCGCGCGCGGCGCGCGCAACAGTCAACCGACGCACAGGCCCGCCACCACGAGGCTCGCGCAATTCCCTGATCCGGCGAACCGCCGGCAGTGTCTAGCGTCCGCGCGCGCCGGCACTTCGGCCGCGGTCCGCCGCTGCTGCGCACCCACCGGGTAGGTGAACCCGCCGTTAATGTTGGGACCGATGACGAATTCGGATCAGGCGTCAAGAAGCACTCCTATACTTCTCTTCAGATCCATATAATCTATAGTAATTGCAGTTAAATACCGTTTGATTTTATTTTCACATATTTCAGCACCCCCAATATTTGGGCTCCAGTTGCGGCCATGGTATCAAGAACTTACGCGTGCCCAACACTGTACGGACACACGTTAGCTTACAGTGACATGATGTACTAGGTAGGATCGTACATCGAATTCTGAGATACTGCAACGTTATCCCGTTTGTATTTGCGACGTGTCGCGTTTAGAGATTGTGACACCCTCCTCGGTCATATTGTTACATCATATGTGCATTACATTTATTTTGTGTCGTAACTTAATTTTATTTCGGTGTAAGGATGATCATTATGAAGCATACTTTTTCAAACATGTTTTTGATTTATAAATTAATGTAAGATTAATTTTCGACGTTCAGAATACTTTAATGTGCGCTTCGAAAACTAGAAAAATCCTTAATCATAGTCAGATTTGATAGTGTGATATCACACAGAATGACAACAACTGACTCTTGACCTCATACAAACGTCATCTGTCTGCTTCAATTACTGTGTTCTATAGCTCAAATCATTGAATTTATTCAATCATTCAATTATTAATTGTTAGTCTGAATATCTGAAGTTGTTTTTATAACTAATAGTAATAAAATTATATAAAAAAAATTAAAAACCTGGTGATGTAACATATAGTTTGCATTTTTCTACAAATATTTAATATCTTCCAAACATTTTTCATAAGCCTAAAACTAGTGCAGTTATAACTATGATGATCACCTCTCCTATTATGTATTTAGATCTTACATTTCACTTTATTAATAACAATTTTAACTGAATTCTAGTTGGGTTTCAAAATTGAAATCTCTGTACTGAATGAGTATTATTTTAAACAGTGCTCGACTTGTGGGAGGGCATGAGGAGACTGAGTACTTCAATCAGATATTCTAGCATACCCCTACTATTTTTTCAATGGAGGACGCATGGGACATTACTTGGTTTTTAATATCAATTTTTACAAAATTACAAAAAGTTAATATTTTTTATAAACAATAAACCATTTACAAAATGTATAGGTGAGGTGTACCTAAGTATTAGTTTTTGGTACAGCGGTACATAATAAATGATAAAAATCAAACATTAACTTCGATTATTTTTGTTAGTATATAGTGTATACTAGATATATACCAGGAATGGGCAACTCAAAGTTATTAAAGAGACAATTTTTTAAAAATTAAAATCTAGCGGGTCATAGCTTGGAAAGCAAAAAAAAAGTCTTTTAAAATATGCATTTTAATTATCATTTATATACACGGAAATAATAAATTCAACACACACGACCACACGACACGAATGATACGAAGAAACTGATATATTTAAATAGTTCGGTACATACAGCTATAGTTGAAAGCTATACGTATACATATTATACATTATATTTAGACTTTTAACGATGTTTAATATCAGATAAACATTATTATATTGATAGACCATAAACTTTAAAATTCTATGATGTAACTTAAAAATATAGCACGGGTCAGATAAAAAAACTCACTCCGTTGTCCACAGTAGCCCACCCCAGTTATATACAATCGCATAATGTGTAAAATAAAAAATAAAAATCTTCCACGATCAGTACAATACAGCAGTACTTATAGTTAATATCATACAAGGTTGGATTTGAAAAACAAACTTTGATAACTTGATTCGAGAACATCTCTCATTATATGGGCATGATCGGTGGTATCGATACGACTACGGTCGAATAACGCGAAATACTTTCTTGGGAAAATCGTTATGAGTTGTGAAATTCGTGAAAATATTACTGTCATGTACTCATGGGTCATATTTCTAACTTATAACCCGAATTGAAAATAAAATGTTCTAATTTTTTAAAATACCGTGAAAAATAGAAATATAAAGTTAATAGAGTTTTAGAATTTTGAAGATGTATACCTACATATTTCTTCTTATTTTTTCCTCAAGGATGATTGGTTGTGGCCTTAGCAAATCTAAAATTTTCTGCCGTCAACACAACATTAATAACAGGTATTACCGTTATTTAATGAAATTATTCGAGCAGAAGTTACGTTTTTGTTAAATCATTACACATTCGGAATACAATTTAAAATTGTGTACTTAATTAATTCTTCTACTTGGTTTTTCTTAATTCAAGCACTGCATGTGTCGTAAGTATTATGTATGATTCTCGATTTATATACAATGCCGTATTTAGAAATTTGACGCTCCAGGATAACTACAAAATGCCGCCCACTTTGGAGGATTTATATGTTATAGATATAGACCTTGCAGTGCATACGAATAATACAACGATTTAGGTAACACGAATTTTTTTTAAATAAAATTCAATTACTGAATTTGGATTTTTGCTGTTACATTATATATGACTGGGCTATAAGTAATACCAATAAAAACCACATAATTAAAATTATTATTATTTTATTAACCCTTTGTTTCTGCTTATTTCCAGTACTTATACATTTTGTGCCCAAATTTCAATTTTCCAATTAATTTTAAAGCAACTTTGATTCTTATATAGTTTTCTTTAATTTTGAAAATTATTGAGAGTTGAATTAATTTATGATTAATTTATTAAGAATATAATTAATTTCATTGGGCAATAGACATCTGTATTATTTTTATGGTTTTGAGTGAACTATGTAAACTTATAACAAATTGTTTATTATTGGAATGTAATAATGTTTAATTAAAAATATCTATAATGAACTCCCTTTTTGTCTGTCGGCATTCTTCTTGGCGGTCATCACTCACCCGCGAAGCGAGTCACCGCTCTCTAATTCACTGGGTTTCCCTACTTTAAGGTGACCAATCCAGCTGGGTCGAAAGGCCAATCACCTGAACAAGACGCTTCCGTTTAACGTCAAACGCTTCGCAACGCATGAGAGCACTCTTTCTTTACGTACTCATCGAATGGTCCTCAATGGAAAGTACCCAACCGACGGGACGTGGCCGGTATGACGGAAGAACCGATTGAAACAGCCGTGCCCCGTCGGTGATCTCTGAATCTCTGCGTGAGGTGAATAGTTATCACCCCACGTCACTGGCCGTCAGGTTAATCAGGACAGTGCGAGCTAACGGTCGTTACAATTTCGTGTATCACTGTGCGATTCGCGCTCGCGCTGCCACTGACGTCCCGACGCAGACCGATGCTAAAGCGTCAACTCCTTGCCAGCCATAAGGAAAGTGTAAATTATAAATACAAAGCAAGAATCATACATTAGACATCCTTTACATGGAGATAATCACAAAGGGAGCCGACTTAAATATAGGAGAAATTTCCTGTAAACAACAATCAGCTTAACACAAACACTTAAAACGACAAGGATTGACCTATGGAAGAAGGAATTGAAACGATATATCTCACACTATGGAAATACCCAAAAGAAAGCTTACCATAGGGTAGTAACTTGACATGGAAGATGTTAAAGAGACTACGAATCGAAATTGCAAGAACAGCAAGTAATATGAAAATATGGAGAATAAAAGAGTTAGGTAAATACGACTGCGGTTAAGAACAAGACGCAGACCATTTAATTGAGTATCCACTAATACCGACTAAATTCCGGAAGGATGATGTTATGACAATCATTGACATCTCAGACAAAGCAACACAGATTGCCGTTTACTGGCAGACGAAAAGAATATGAAGAAAAAGCTATTAAAGTAGCTGCTTGTTGGCACAGGAAAGAAGTATGAAGACCGACACGAAAAGAAAAAGATTAGAAATATTACAATTTTTCATATTATAATTGTATAGTTCATGATTATTTCTTTATCGATAAGCGATCAAACCGGTAGACGGTAAACAAAAACAAAATAGTATTCCAGCAATAAATACTAAAAATAAAATTGGCCGTCATCACAATATCAATTACAAAAAAGAAACGTGATAAACCAAAATACCCAATACTCCTATTCCATATACATATACATGTGTACAAGGTACGTATGTACTTATTTACGCCCAGGACATTAGTCCATTACCAATGTAAATTGGAATAAACTTACTCTTATAAACGCAAGAAAATTATCTTTAGACAATATTTTTCCCTCGAAAATAAAGTGGGGGTGCTAATTGAGAATCTGGAGGTGCTGAGTATCCTCGCATGTGTACCAATACCTGGAAGTTGCTGAAGTTCACCATCAGCCGGGTCAGGGCCGTCATGACATGTCTGGCCTTGTCAGCCGCGGCTCTCGAAAGTGCGCCTCGTACTACGATCCTTTTCTGTTGTGCACTCAAATACTTTAGGGTCGTGCACAGCTAGATGATCAGATCCTGAATCCATACACTCAGATCGGTCGAGATATAACGGACCTTGAATACCAAAAATTGTAGCCCTAATCACCGGATGGGCCCAACGACCATCTCCAGTGCCGCGTTTACATGGTTTTGCACCACCGCTACCAATGTGTCTCCTATAACCCTATATGACCTATATAAGCCCTTAGGGGATCATTCCAGTTGTCGTCAGACAAGTGCAGAGTCTGCGTGTTCAGGTACGAGCCCAAGATCCGTCGGAGACACGCCGAGAAACCTATACGTAAACGCCACGTACACCACTACTCAATCAAAAGAGCAGAACGCGTTCCGGATGTCGAGGCTCACGGTCATTGTATCACTGTACGAAGGGAAGTATTTAGAAGGAAGCGAGTGGGTACCATCGCCCCGGGCGACACATTTTTTTGGAATCAAAGGGCAGCAACATTTTTTTGTAACCATCATCTATTGAAAGATTTTAACATTTAAGATTTTGCACAGTGACCACATGGTGATTTTTATTTTCATGACAATATTATCAAAAGTTAAATATATAAATATTTATAAATTATAACTACAGCTAGCGTTATCTAAAATTAAATATTATACAATTATCAAATAGGAACAACTGCTATCGAAATACGATGATTTTCTATAAATACTTTTCTAGGAAAATAAAACAATGATTATTGAATATTCTTCCAGGGGATTTTTTTTGATTCAAGAAACATTTTTAATGCTAATTTATTATTATTTTATTAATCAGAATTATTTTTAATACTTTTTTTTATATTTATAATTTTATAAAATATTTGTGCAAATGAAAGTTTTGTATACAAACATAAAATATAAGTGCATATTTGTACTTTTTTAAGCGCATAAATGCATGCATATTTAAAACTTTTTAAGTGCATTAAGTTCCGTGCCCTAGTAATGAATAATGATGTCATAATGATAAACAAAGCACATGAAACGTTTAAATTTACCCAATTAAATAATAACATAAAAGATAGTAAAACATTAATTTATTTACCCATCTTATAAGCTATAAGTTAACTATCAATAGGTTTTATGGAATAATAATATAAATCTAATTTTTTTTATTATTTGTATATTTAATACTTTATAGAACTTATTTATAAAAACATAAAATTGTATTTAAAAAATAATGTACCGTAGTTAGGGGTGAATAGGAACGATTTTAACGGTTTTTTATAGAGTATGAGCTCAATTTTTGTGGTATTGATATCATGAAAATTGTTTCATAAACATTACATTTATAGAAATATATAATATACCAAAAATAGTTTATAAGGTTCGCATAATAACGATTGTCATAAACCGGGAAGGAACCAGTGTATTTCAACTTTTAATAAACTGTGAATGTGTTTTTAAAAGAGAATATTATTTGATTTTTGACTACAAAATAGTAAATAAAAATAAACTATTTACCGATTTTACCATTTGATCATCGGACAAAGAATTGCCGACTTTTTAAAATTTCTTAGAGTGGGCATTTGCCATAGTCTACCCCCCCCCCCCCCCCCCCGAATTACGTTCCTGACCTGGGGCGTCAAAACGCTATATTCGTCTTTGACTGAACGACGCTCATTTTTTTAGCGACCAATAACCACTGTTGCAAACTAATAAACAGGTATCTAGTAAATAACATATCGGATTTCAAGAGAAACAGGAATAATTTTTTTAAAAGTACTGAATTATATCTTTGAGCCACATGTACTAATAATTTATTATTCACATACACGTTTAGCACAAGTAGTGCAAAATAGGTAATTTTCCTATTATGGACATTGATTTATTATATACAGTTAAAGAACTTATAGGCTTTCAAGATTTTACCACTCACATTTAGTTTATCATACACAGACTTGCTTCTTGACAGCTGTACTGAAACATGTCAAAGCAATAGTTCCCTTTTGTGAAATATAAATAGTTTATATGATTGATATGTTTTCAAGCATTTTCAAAAATAGTCCAAGGGAATTTTTATGTGTACTCCACAGATATTAATAACATAAATAACATTATTTGTCCACAATTGATCTATTTTTTTGTATTTTTAAATGTTGAACTATGAATATAATTCTCAATAAGGTTACAGTTGAATTTACATTTGCAATAAGTTATTATCAGGGCTCTTAACTGAAAGCTCTAAAAAATTTGTAATAAGCGCTATAAAATGTTCTAAAAAATATTCATATGAGCGCTTAAATATGCACTAAAAATACTCAAATATCCAAAAAAAAATTAATACTATGTATATAACAAAAATTTGCCTTGCTTCATTAAAAAAACTTATGATTGCTTGTTTATGGATCATATCGCTATATGATATAAATAAACATATAAAATATGAAGAATTAGTTAATTAACATAAATTAATTACAAATATAAATAACATGACTAAACATAATTAGTTACTTATTATTATTAAAAAATAAATATTTTAAAGGCTACAGAACTGAAAAAGACTTAAAAAAAGCAAAATAACACTTACATTTCGAAAAATATGCAACATAAAATTTCATATTCAACTTCTTAGTTATCCGAAACAAATTTATAGCTCACATAGGCATCTCTAAAACTTCTCAAAATAAAAAAAAAAAATGGAAATGCTAGAAATTATGAGCACTGGTTATTAATAATAACTTGATACACGCAGTGAGCCAAAATATATTACAAAACATTTAATTGATTAATGAAAAAGACTGTATTGAGTAAGCACATAGGAAATTAAATTTGTTTTATGTATAAAAAGTCTTTAAATGACTAACTTTTGACACTCATATTAGAAAGAATAACAACTTTAAATAACTAAATTGAATCATTGTATAAGAATATTTATAAATATAATAGTACTAAAATAAATATGGTTCATTATATTAACAATATTAATGTATAAGCATTGTTTTAAATTACAATTTATAGTTTCACATTATTTTCTTTTAATAAAATTACACAAAAAAAGAAGATAATTTGATATAATCAATTAAAATGTTTTATTCATACTTATACTATAGATTAAATAAATTTAATCTATGCTAGTATACACAATATAATTAAGTGTAGGATTCTACTTGCAGTTCATCATTTAATTTTATTTATTATTAATATTTTAAATTTTACAATGATTTTAATCTTCTAATGTGACATTTTTGAATAAATATGACATGGATTCTTTGTTGTGAATTCTGCGAATAGCCTCTGATAGCAAAATACTAATATCTACAGTTTTGATTTTATGACATTGCATTTTTTGAATTTCATGAGGAATTGTGTTAGTAACAACAACCTAGAAAAGACACATTTTAAATATTTATTTAATTAAAAATATATTTTAGGTAAATATGATATATGTATTGATTACTTCATCAATAGGTGAAGCTTCAATAAGTCGTGGAGCATCAGAAGATAAAAGACCATGAGTTGCCAAAACATAAATTTTATAAGCACCACGTTCTTTTAATACTTCAGCAGCAGCTACAAATGATGCAACATCGTCTATCATATCATCCTATAAATAAATATAATACTTGAAGTACCTATTAGTTTTTAAATAATAATATATTCTTTGCTAACCACCATAATAGCTATGCGACCACCAACATCTCCCACAACATTTATGGGAGGTTTTTCTTTGGCAGGATGCTGGGGTACACCAACTCCAACATCCATTGTTCTTGAACGAGAAGTTGATGGTGGAGGAGAATTTCGCCCATCAACCATATCAGAATCAGACTCTTTCTGTTCTCCGTGAATGACAGCAATTCCTAATCGTAAACGTTCAGCATAAGATGTAGCTTTTTTTGCTGATCCAGGATTCCTTGCAACTATCACAGCATTACGATAATCAGGAATCTATTGAAAAAAATAAATAAAATAACATTTGTTTATTCTTTATTAAGTGTATTATTTTTTTAAACATTGATAAGTGGATCCATTTAAATTAATAATAGTAATTCTAATTTAAGCGACCTACACTTTCTTGAATGTATTGCAAAAGGAATGGGGATGCTCTTAAATTATCGACTGGACACTCAAAAAAACCTTGAATTTCTTTTTGATGAAGATCCATAGTAATAACATGAGTTAAGCCTGATGAACACAACATTTTTGCCAAAAGTTTGGATACAATAGAACCACGTTTTCGCATTTTACCTTAAATAAAATTAGAAGTAGATTATTCATGAAACTTTAAATTGTAATTATTTTAATACATTGTTTACTGTAAGGAAGATAAGGAATAACTCCCACAATGCTTTTGGCTGAAGAAGTTTTGCATGCATATGCCATGATCAAGAGCTCCATTATATTATTATTTACATCCCTAAAAAAATTCCATAGATTTAAATTTTAAAATAATTAGCATCCTAATAATAGTAAACAACTAAGTATTCAACATGGTTATATATGACATGTTAAACTATATACATTATAAAGACATTTTTAATTGATGATAGATTTATAAATAGGAGATTAATTATTTTGAAATCAAATTAAATTAATACCATTTACATTATGATACAAAATTGAACTATGATAAATAATTTATTACTGTAATGGTTAAAATTTATAGTTAATTACCAAATATGTATAATAGGAAAAATTAAATTCATAATATAATAAAATGTTAATCAGAACTGACATGGTTATATTTAATCTTCAAATATAATATTGTAGTGAGTTTATAGTTTGAAATTTGATAAATTAGAATTTTCGATATATTATAGAAATAAATCTTATAATTTTTTATACATTTTAATTTACTTCTACACAATTTAAAATTCAATTTTTTTTTCGCTTTTCTATAACTTAGTTATAGAAATCGAAATGTTTTAAGTAATGGTTTTTCTTAAAAAAAATATGTATTTATACAACACATCTGAGTTTAAATAAAAATGGATAGAACATAGAACTTAAAACAATTGTAATCAATTAACAAAATATGTAATATGATAAGAATAGTTAATATTGAACAAGTTTAATTAGCCATAGAGTGTGATATTTGTAGAGCCATAGTGTTAAATTTAATAAGTATTAAGAATATAAAATGTTATTTGTAAAGTGCATCAATCATAAGCTCTCTTTAAATAAATTTAGCTGTAATAAATGTCAAATGGCAAACTATTTACATTTAATATTTTAATATGTTATGAAACAGAAAATAATGCAATATAATAGTATTTAAAATAATACAAATTAAAAAATTAGTATGTATTATATTGAATATTTTTATGTATAAAAATATTTAGGGTTAAGAATCAAGCAATGATTGATTTGAAACTTAAGACACCATTTATTTGCTAATAAAAAAAGTTTAATTTATATTTATATGTAAAAGTAGACATTTAGTTTAATAAAAAGGCCTCACTTTTCTTAAACTGTTATCTTAAAGCGCACAAAGTTAATTCATTTGTAAATAAATGATAAAATAATGCAGTACACAAAACCATTATGTTTTAAGTAAAGAACAAGTGTAAATAAAATCATTTTTAACATAAAAGTAACCAGAAATAATTTAATATTTAGAAAATATGTAATGTCCATTTAAAATGGTAAATCAAAAAAGACTGGTATAATTAATTGAATCAAATTAAACATTAATTTGAAAAAATAACTTAAGATCTAAATTTAACCATGATGTATTTCTAAATATTTCCTTATAACTTATTCGTAGGTAATTATAAAAGACATATTACTTATTGATGAAAGTGTTTATTTTTTTATTTTTATTGATAAGAAGTAAAATGGTAGATAATTCAAAGATATTAACTCAAAAAATACTAAATTTCTTAGGCAATTTAGTTTCAATAAACTGTTGCAAATACATTATTTTTGTAAACATTTTTATAATAGTAAACTATACTTACTTTGAACCAGTTTGAACAATATAAATATCCTTTCCACGCACAGAATCACTTATTTGGACAGACGTTTCTCGATTTGTGGTGTAAGAAACAGCGCATCGGGCAGGTTTTACACCAAGTCGACTATGAATAAAATTAAGTAATATTTCATAATATTAAATAATACCGTTTCTTATTTACAGTGATAAACTGAAGTATAGTCTAATAATAATTACCGAGCAACCAAATTGGCTAGTTCGAGGTGCGAATTTCCACTTATTATCATAATATCCGTTGATGTGGTAATGTCCATGGTGAGCAATATTATACCTTTATTTTTCTTAAACTTCAAAATTGACGACTCCGCGGATTTCCTACAAAAAAATTATAGGGCAAGGCGGTACGACTATAAGCTATAACCAAGACGTAGAAATGAAATGTATGCACAACATTCAACAGCAAGGTACCTATGATCGATTTAAAAATATTAATTTGATAAGCGAATTTATCAACATTATCGAGAACACCAAAGACATTGTAATATTTATACTTAGGGATAGTGTTGTTACGGTGGGCGCCTGGCGACGGCTACTTGTTGAACACTATACCCTCAAACCATGAGTGTATTAAAATAATTTTCATCGTTCCCGGCACGCATTTAGATACATCTTACAGTCCGCGGTTCCCGGCACGCTATCGACGATCACCTTAAAACTTCACCTTTTGATAAAACGCTTTTCTGCGGTTAGGCAACGTTTTTAATGGCTACTGACAAGCGACGTTCATGCGCGTACGATGAATATATATTGCACGATTTATATTTTTGATATTTATTGTTGCATGGTTCTACAACACTTATTCGCATTTGTATTGCGTTCAGTATCACGCGGACTTCGTCCGTGACAGATGATTATTCTCTGTTGCTCGTAATTCAAAATTAAATATTTATCGTTTTTTATTACACAATATCGTGTTCGAATTCAAAACTGCGATCGTTTAATAGAAGTTTGGCGGTGTGGTTGTGTCACATAAAGCGAATTATTGTTCGCCGCGGAATGAAAATTCACCGGCTTAGGTCGGTTTCTTTTATTTCGGAGTACGCGCCCGCTCAAGTTCATTGAACATTTTTGTTGATATCATGATGTAATAATTTATTGTATCATGGTCGATTTAATCCTATTGATTCCAATACGGTCATTTTTTTTATTTTACTTTTTCATTAATTAGCCGAATCGCTGTCGAACACGTTTTTATCTCTAGATAAAAATACACGTGCTGCATTACGTACTGATACACATATTGCACTGCGATAAAGTGTGTACTTCTATTGTACTTAAATTATTATCCATCCGCATGTTAAAATATATAATACGTATATGATGTGTTTGTAGAATTTCCTAATTTCCCCTCACGTGGACATTCCATGGCGTGTACTTAGGGACGTTGCGATACTACCGATACCAATAAAGTATCGATACTTTTCTTTCGATACAAGTACTTTTTGTATCGATACCATGATCTAGATACTTTACTCGTATCGATAAAAAAATACTGGTATCGAATGAATAGTTATTTTTTAGTAAAATGGTTTGCGCGCGTGGTGCAAGATTTGTTTACATAAATCAGTCATCCCACTATAGTCTATACTAGGGGTGGCGAATCTATGGCACGCTGACCAAATTTTAATGGCACGAGCAAAAATTGAAATCATTAAAAATTTTACACAAAAAAAAAAATTATACTGTTTAAAAAATGTTGATTATAAGAAATTCAAAGAGACAAATGATGTATTTTTTTATATTATTTATATTTTATTTATATAATTCATTATATAATATTATAATAATTATAAATATATTTTATGGATTTTAAAAATGACAATATTCCTTATGCTTTCATATTCGTCGTCAACTTATGTTTGTGAAAGCCATAACAAATTAAATAAAATTGAAGGAAATACATTTTTCGACCAATGAAACGATTGCTGCTTGTATTTCACTAGGAATTACAAAAATTTAACAAAAATAATGTAATATATCTGTAATTTTATTTTTATTCTTAGAAAATATCATTTTCTTTGGGCACGTAAACAATTTTCAAATCCTTAATTTGTAAAATTTGGCACTTGAACCAAAAAAGATTCACCACCCCTGGTCTATACTTTATACGATAATATTACACGGACCAGAAACTACAGTCGACAATACAATAGCGTTAATAGGTTTCCTCTTAATCGGAACGATTATTCATATAGGTCGTTTTTATATTTTACTCTTATCATGAATTTAATTTGATTAGATACGACGATACGACGAAGTAAAAGGAACAATACTTTTATTTCCATACTTACTCATATCGGTCCTTTCGTTTCGATATTTTCATTCGATTCGATACCAACTAAAGGTATCGATGCTTTTCTTTCGATACCACGTCCCTACGTGTACCGAACAACTGGTATACCCGTTCGCACGAGTTAGGTATGCACCACTGATCCGCGTCGGTCCGAGGGCCGCGGAGTTAAAGTTGCGGTCCCGCGTGCCGCGGTTGGTAAGCGATACCCGGAGTCAACCGCGTCAGCGGTTGCTGGCGGACAAAATCCGGTAAGTTGGTACGACGGCGGCGCGAGCGAGAACGTCGCGTAGTACACAACATGCCCACGCACGCGTTCCCGACGCCACTCTCCAATCGTTATACGGCGAACAATAAGTGACCGCGGCGGGGGCGGCCTGCTGGTCCCTTAGAGCTACGCGGGCGGGTAGGTACGCGAACGACCCCTGGGGACGGTCGGGGCGGAGAAGCGTTTGAAAAATCAATGCGCGTTATCAGCCCGCTCGCCAAAAGCTCCCGCACGTCTGATAACGCGCGCGCGATTTGTACATAAAAATAATAATAAACAAAATCCGCGAACGCACCACGACGACGTGCCGCCCCTACCCCGTTAGCGCTTCCGTTGTAGTTAGGTGCCGTTACATAGTTGTATTGTTACCAATACGTGTTACCAACACGCACGAACACGGTCTGTTTCCTTTAGCCAACGGAGGGTGCCGTTCGGTCGAGAGATAATATGGATCCGGGTCCGCAAGCTTACGGGGCCGGCAAGGTCGGCGGCGCGTTCAACGTCCAAAACTTTGTTCGGAAGCCGCACGTTTTTGTCAGACTGCTGTCATTGGTGAGTGCGTTTTTGTTGTTCCTGTAACGGTTTTCAATCTCGAGATCGGACGGCTTGCTCGGTAGGTACGTGCTCGTAGTCGACGTCCTCACTGTTCGCTGTCCGATGTCGTCTTTTCCGGGTTTCGTTTCTCGTCGGGCACCCGTTCACCGTCCCTTTATCCGAGTTGGACCCCGAATCAATATCTCTACACCGGCTGGGTCCCGGATTGCTTTAGGTATCTACATAACATAACACAACTACATTTGTTCAATTCCATATGTTTTTCTCGGTTAGTACGGTACTGCGTTGACATTTTACCCCAATTTCGGTTTGTACGGTACTGCGTTTCTATTGCGAATTCATTTCAAATCATTCCTTTTATTGGTAAAACAAAAATATATAATACCGAATGGATATTTATGTAAATGAAAAAATCAAAAATATTTGTTTTAAAGTTTTGCTTGAAAAAAATAAAAAAATTAAATAAACATATAAATATGGAAAAACATAAAATTGAAGCAGAACTTAATGCTGTTCTAAAATCAGGTTGTATAAGTACTATATTTTCAGTAAAATTAGTTATTTGAAATGTTGGTTTATGAAGAGGTTGGTTATAAGCAATTTTCGATTATTTTTATTATTAAATTAGTTATTCATTTTCGACCTCATAGAAAATAAGGTTTTTGGAACATCATTTAAACAACTATATATAACCCCAAAACCGTATAAAAAAAGTGTTGAAGTCCACGCCCCCGGAGCCCTCGTACGTTTTGGGCTCATAGTTTTATTTAAATTACATTTAGTGATAATTTGTACTTTTTATAGTACCTACAAGAATTTTTATATTTTATGATTTTCTTGTTTGAATTAACTGGTGTTGGGGCTCGTCATCCGTCCACCATGTTTACCACGATGAATATAGTAGGGGGGGGGTTACATAGCCATATTTTGTTATCACTGTATTTAAAGTAAAACTTTATAAGCATACTTATCAGTTGTATTTTATTGTAAATTATACTTAATATTCAATGTGAAAATACTGAATAAAAAATAATAATAAAATAATAATTTGTTACACAAAAATAAATTTCACATAAATAGCTAAGTTTTATTTGTAAATATAAATATTTAAAAAAATAATATTTTTTAAATGTTTTTATTACACTTAATTAAAAATATTGAAATTTGTTTTATTATATATTTTAATAATCTTAAAAAATTGTTTTCATTGGTGGAGGTCTACAACTATGTATTGGTATTAGCCCCTGAACCACTGAAGGTCAAAATCCGAGCTTGTGTAATCCAATATGTACTGAAAATATATCGAGGTCGGAAATAATGCAATTTAATATCATGTACTTATTCATATCATTCAAATGAACTCATTAAGCCCGCGTAGGAGTCTTGGTCGATCTTTTAGTGAAAATCAACATCAAGATGCAGTGTAAATTATTGATACTTTATTTTAGGCGTTAATTGTACGAAACATTAATCTTCTTTTGGTGCTATTATTCAGTTAAAATTCAAAGCACGCTCACCAATATTCTCGTCATAGCAAATCAATTGACGGCCATAAAACAAATATTTCATTTTTAATTAATGATTTTATTGAAACATTTTGAAATTAATGCCGTTTGATGTCCCAATTGTAATACTTGTTCACATAACCAATCTATTTAAATAATGAATAAAAATTAATAAATTTTATTACGAGTACTACTTCTGGTCTATCTCGGAAATAAATTTAATAATTTATCTAAACACAATTATTTATTATGGAACATTATGTAGGCAATTTCTAAAAATCTGTTTTGGTTGTTTAGTAATTGTATACTCGTAATGAACATTAGTGTCAATTTAGATGGTCCTCGCATAACGCATGACGTCGCGACCGCGAAAACAAGATAAGATAAATATGTCGTTTATTATCGATTGGAATAATGGAATCGTCAAACATTATTATACATTACCTCTAATGTATAATGTAATTGCTTGTTGTTTTGATGGTCTGGTAACCATAATACTCGACACTTGATGTGTATTTAATTATACTTATTTTTGGTTTGTGAACTTATGTTTGCTTGAAATGCAAAATAATGGAATAAAAAAAAATTATATTTTGGTGGATTAACCTCTATAAATACGCCACTGAAGCCACTTGAATGTCTTGAACCCAAAATCACAACGAACCGTTTTTATTGGAATAGTGAATAACCAACGGACATGGTGCAACTTACTCAGTTTTAGTAAAGACATTTACGTTTCCTTCATTTTGCCTTCATTGAGAACGGATTTCTATATTCAAAGTATTAGTTATTCATTTTAAAAATTATGGTTTGTAATTTAATAATTTATAAAGATCACACGGATAAAAATTCTCCAGACAATAGAACAATTAGTATTTACAAATGTATTAGTAAATAGGTTACTACGATTATAATATGATAGAATCTAATATTAATAATATAATAAGAATAACTAATGAGATTATCGATAGTTTTATTGAATTGTAAGTCTCGGCTACGACGTAGAGAATATTCATTTCTATACCATGGTCTCGGCATTGCTCATAGGCCACAGTTGTATAAAGTACAAAAAAATAAAAACTGTCTAATATTTAGTATTTATAATCAATGCAAATAATAATACCCTTATTTACGGTTCGCCTATGCCGCGTCGAGTGATGACGACATCATAGTTGAGAATTTTGCGCGGAATGATTATACGCACTAATAGGCATATATCAATTAACTCATTTGAAACAAATAAAAAGTTAAATTTTCACTCTCAAGACACGATTCTACTTTTAGCAGATACGTTTCTTATATTATTTTGATTTTAGTTTTAAAAAAAAACGTATAAATTCTCATTAAAATTTCCAAAGCATCGCTCATGATACAGTTTAAAGAATATTTTTGATTATTTAATTATTTCTATATGAAAAATTGTAATTTTTTAAATTTCGTAATCATTTATAATATAATATCGTCAACAATAATTAATAAATAAAATTAACATTAAATTAATAATTGATAAAATGTATTCTGATCGATACATTAACCAAATATTTGAAAAATCTTAATCCGTTTTCAAAACTAATGTCTGGTTATGTATTTTGGAGATTGTGTTATTTTCAATATAAAATGAGCTGGTGTAAAGGATCCTTAAATAAGTATGTTCAACAACATTTAAAAATAATTCATCTTACGATAAAGCACTTTCGGTTAGGTTATATTTCATTACGAGGAACAACTAACGAAGGGCTACTATTTAGCTACTATTTAACTAGCTTCATTTGACATTAAAACAATACCGGATTGTTTAAATTGTAACGATACCCAATTATGAACTGTGGCCGCAGAGAGGAGGTTGCAAAGATATTTATTTAATAATAGTGGAAAAAATTGAATTGATATTTAAAAATTTGATAAATAAAAAAATTATTTTTATTATAAAATAATTAAATAATTACATTATTTCCATGTTACTAGTCTGTTGACCTATGTAGTATGTATTTTTTATACTCAATAAATTACGGAAATGCCATAATTTTAAATATAAACTTAAGTCGTATGGCTATTTTAATTATTAGCAAAACATTTTTATCTATTGCTCAAAGACTTAGCTATAAAGTTATATCCATTACTACTTTTAGAGCGGCTATTTTTATATTTAGCGTTTTATTACATGGAGTTTGACAGAATGTTTTGGTTGGTATTGTTTGAATCTCTTTATTTTTTAGTAGATGATTTACTTAATATTTTACTCGTTCAATATAATATAATCGAAATCAATACTATCAAATATTCATATTCTTGCTTTACAAGTCATACTTGGATTAATAATGGTAATTTCAATTTAATATTTATTTTAAATATAATGGAATTATGAGGGACAAATACAAAAAAAAAAGTCAATGTGAAGTATAAATGTAAAATGTTTTTAAAATTCTTCGTCGGCGCGAGGAATGCACAGAAAGTGCAATCGCACAGAGCCTCGTACTTTTGGATAGGCTCTTGGGCCTCGCACATCTATTTTGTAGTATATTCATATTCGGGGCCTCGCGTTTACAATTTACACAGGACCTTGCAAATCATATCACCGGCACTGGTGCAATGTACCTGGAAGCTCTAAGGGACCACTAAAACCAAAATATAAAATTGTCCGTTACGTTATTTTTTATGTTCTTTTTTTCGAAATTTACTTATTAATTAAGGTACTTAAATATTTTTTTTTAGTTATTTAATACATCAAAATGTATTAAATAAATATATAAGTGTTATGTTGAACGAATGTTTTTTTAAGGGGTCTCTAATTGATATTTGCAACCTGGCTTCCTGAAACTTAGATCTCGAGGATTTATCGATTATTATAAACGTTATACTTATAAACTATAAGTTATAATATAATTGTAAGAATAATTAAAATATTCCTTACTTTTGATTTACCTATATTATATATGTATACTAATTTGTAATTAATATTAGTTACAATATTTCATTTGCTTGTTTTTTGTACAGCTATTTGGTTTGATCGTGTATTTTTGTGCATCATCGGGTTCGTGGACTACTGACACAAAAACTAACGAAGAAATATGCATGTTCAAGCTTAAGAGTTTTGGGTGTCACATTGGAGGTGTGGTGGGCTTCACGTCGGTTATCGGCGCAGCCGTATTTGTCGGCGGCGAGTATTATTTTGAAAACGTGCCGTCGGTGAAAAGTCGTAAGCATTACGTGCTCATTGACCTTGGATTCTCAAGTAAGAATCACGATGATAAGCTAAACTCTATCGGACTAGATTCTTGTCACGTATTAATAGCAGCGTGCGCGTTATTTTTAATTTATGATGGGATTAATTTGATCTTGTAGATATTTGGTTTTTACATTAGTTTCTATTTGTTATAACAGATCACAAATATTGCTGTAGGTGATACTTTGTTGTTGTTAAATATTAGTTTTTACTATTATTATCTGTTAAATCTTAAATAAAGAGGTAGCCCGAGTATGCGTGAAGGTATTCAACCGCTCCATTATTATCTTATTTTAATGATTTTTTTTTTGAAATGTATTATTTATTACGAACATCTAAAAGCATACCTAGGTAGTTCAATATTTTATTAGAATTACTCACTAGGCATATTTAAAAGTACAGTATTGATGTCTTCACATACATCTAAAATGCGTTTTGAATTTTATCACAATTTATTTGTAATTAAATTAAACCTGTAAAATGTATGAATCTTATACATTTCTGTGTATGTAAAAAATGTGAACCTATTAAAAGGTTTTGTATTTTATGGGTACAGTTAAATTTTACTTGATAAACCTGGTGTTAAGTTTTATGTCAATTAAAAACCAACATCAGATGAATCAATTAAATAATTTAATTTGTCAAAATATACCTACATTATTAAATATCTATTATATTATGTATCTGAATATTTTGAATTCGGTGTAAAATACGAAATCAATTGAGTTTACAAATTAAGTATTTACTGTAATGTTGCCTTTTACTTTATTTTGCCTCTATAAACATTTTTCCAGGTATAAAAAGTGTTTCAAAAGTGTGTGTGCAAATTAAATATTATAAAAGAATGGTAATTTTTAAAGAATTTAATTCTGAGATTTGTAAAAGTTTTTAAAGTTTTCATATCTTAAATATTACAGAAACGCTTCGATAAAGAACATAGGATCCCTATATTTAACCGGGTATTAAATTTCTACTGGAAAGATTTCTTTCTCAGTACCTCAAAAATCGTACTGTTTTAAAATTATCCAAAAACTTTATATTTCTCTAAAAACTTAGAATATTTATTGTTTAGTTACCTAGTCTAATTATTTAGTAATTATTATGTCATATTAAAAACAAAAATGCTGACCATATTTGGATTTAAAAACAACATTATTAAAATTATAATTTCTTCTTACATAACAAGTGTTTAATTTACAGGTCTTTGGTCGTTTTGGAATTTTTTACTTTTCTGTTACTTATCTAATGCCTGGAGTGATACACCTGACTTCCCCGAATCAATTAGCACTGCCAATCCAACCACTGCCATTTATTTTGCATTATTTGCTATTTTTTCATGGGTATGTACCTATATCGATATAATTCTATCAATGCATTTTTAAAAATGCTTGTAACATTTTTTAATTAAATGATTTTTCATGGGGTGCTTCCGCATATTTTTCATACCAAAGATATCAAATGGGTGTAGATCCAGCATTTGTATCATCATTTGAAGCTGACCAATTTGGAACGTATGATGAAGCCCAAAATAACAGCAACCATGAATCTCCATTTAATAAACAGATGTCAGGTATGTACCTATTACAACATATTAACAATTTACTTACATACTGGTACTTAGTAATCCCAAACAGAAATAACATAAATAAATAAAAATGTATTACTAATATAATTATTTTATTCAATTATGAGCGAGATATATATTATTTATGGTGAGACGATTGTTTTACAGTGGAATACTAATTGTATCAATTTATGTATATGTTAGAGAAAAATTATTTCTATCAAATTGAAGTCACTACTTTTATATGAAAACATTTTTTTCAAAAAAAAATGGAATTAATTAGAAAATTACCATTCATTGATAATAAAATCTTCTGGTATACATCTTGCCACTTTTATTACTTTGTGTGTTTGTGTTTATATTTTCTTTACTAGCTACAGCAGTCTATGAAAGGATATAATTTATTTTAATAAAATATATAAATAATTTATAAATTTTATCTTTCAGGTGAATATCAGAGTCAAGCTTATTAAATATATGATCATTTTCCAATTACGATTTTGAACTTGCGGAGAAAATGTGTTGTTACCATACATACCAATCACTTATTGCCATTAGTACTTATGGTTTAAATACTTCACAATAACTAAACACATTTAAATGAATAGTTAGTTGCGAGTAGTATCAATTTTTAAAATTTGTTTACGAAATTTATAATGGTTTAATAATTTATATAAATATATTTTTTTTTAAACATATTTATTATAATATTACATTTCTCTACTAATACTCTATACTCTATTGTTATTTTCCATTCATATAAAAATAAGTACATTTTAGTAAAAACTTGTGAAATATTTATTAGTGTTGTTAATAGTTTTTTTTTTTAAAAAAATTATTATATGGGTTGATAAAAGACAAAACTTATGTACGATACATTTTGGTCCAAAGTTAAATGATCAAATGCTTTGGGTTTGTGTAACATACATAAAGGTGTTCATGTATATTATTATAAGTTATTAAGTTACGTACAAAAACATTACTTTATAGTTCATTAAGTTAAATTATTAAGTTAAAAAAAAAATGTTTTCCATATGACAGGCAATATTAGAATTTAGTGTTAGAATTCATACATTATGTTCATTACTAAAACATAATGTTTTGCCGTATCAGTATTTTTTCGGTAGATATATATTATATTATATATTATTATATATAAATTAATCAAATAATTCACTAATAAAAAAATATATATATATATATATATATATATATATATATATATATATATATATAAATTAATCAACTATTAATATTAATATTATTATATTAACAAGTGTTAACACGTATATATATATATATCTATATACATATATTTTTTTTCTTGAAATATATTTAAAGTGATAAGAAGTATATATACTTATGGGTTTATTATATTCACTTTAATTAAAATCAAATTGTTTTATAGTTCATAAGACATAAAATATAAAATTCAGATTTAAATTTATAGTGCGACTGTAATATGTATTGATAACTTATTAATATTTATGCATGAATGTTATTTATTAAAATTAGGAAAAACAAGAATGTGCAATTAAAAGAATGAGACCTATTGACTAAATAAAGTTTAATTATTTCAAAATATTTTTAAAAATGTAGTGCTTTAGATAAAAGTTTCGTAAAAAACCGATTATGTTTAACTTAAAATGTTGACTTACTCTCATTTCATCAATTTTGAAAAAAAAGAAATATGTACAAAAATTGTTAAAAAAAAAAAAAATCTATAAGAGTATGTAGAAAAAAATGAGGATTGTCAATAAAAAAAAGTAAGTTGTGTTGAGCAATGTTTGTACCATAAGTGTTAAAAATTCGAAAATTGTAAAAAAATGTATATTTATTTCATTCTGAATTATTCATTTCAATTCAATGTTACATATATGAGAAATTTAGTGATACTTGAAATTGTAATCACACTGTATACATAAAAGGTTTAAAGTAAGCACTGATTGACAATGGACTAATTATAATTATCATATTTTTTTATAGATACAATTTACTTAAATCTAAAAGTATCGTGATTTATATAAAAAAAAATTAAAGTAGTGGAGACTATATTAGCAAGTTTCAAAGCTCTTAGAGAAAATGAGCTCTTACCGGTTATAGACTTCAAGAATAGTGCAGCAAAAATATCATTATTTTGTGAATATGAAAATTGATTTGAACTAAAAGCTCAAGACGTAAAATATTATAATTAATAAGTCATATATGAACATAATATCAATTAACTGATGTCTTAGTAAGAGAGAGTCTGAGTTAAATAATAAATTTTGAACTAGCATAAAAGAGTCTTAAGAAATGGGTAGGTTCATCGTATGGAGAATTTTTTTTAAAATTGTAACTTGAACATAGTAAGATTTAATTAAGATGCATGAGTGGATAACGACGATTGATATCAAATTACTGAAGCATATTCAAAAACCAGTTGTACGAGGGAGTTTCATAAATTTATTTTGTAGTATCTAGTAGGTATAAGCATAAAAGTATACACCAAATATATTGGGGGAGGAGCTGAAGCTCTATTATGAATTTTTTAAAATACTTACCTATACGGTTTAATAAGCATATCCCGTTCTCGCCAAAAAACCGGTTCCCTGATTTACGCATAGTCCTATTTTGCCAGAAACGAAAAAGGTATGATTCCCGTTTCTGCCAAAATTTATTTTTGTGGAAAGACGAACCATGTACAATTTTTACAAATTGTTTCATTATAAATTTTAATACAAGTAAATAATAATAATATATTAGTCGAACAAAGGTACAATTATATTAGAATTTTTAAAATATTACATAATTTCATATTATAATATGTCCATTCTATTTAACTATTTATAAAGTATAAAACAAGTATAGGTCAAATATTGTCTCAATAGTTTTGAAAAAACACATATCGTCATTTTTAAATATTTAAAAATGTCACAAAAAATATAAATTACAATAAAAGTATAGGTCTGGTTTTAAAAAATCTTATAATTAAAAGAAACAGTTTTGACAAAAGTGTACTTATTAATTTCATTAGAATTTTTTTTTTTTAGTTGCGTCTTCTTTAGTTTTTAAACGGATTAATATATTTTTGATTTTTGGAATTTTTTTCATATTATTTTGAGGACTGTTAATTTTGATATAAGTCTGTATCGTATCTTTAAGTATTTGTAAAAATGTAAAAAATGGTGGATGTGGCTTATAAAATGTTTGATTGAAATGAGAATGAAAAGATTCACAATTGTTGGTTGTTATATGTAATGTCATATGTGAAGCCCACATACTTGGCGGAAATTTCGAATTTTCATCAATATAGTTTTCTATATAATATATATAATCTTAGATAGTGCTTGAATTGGGAAAAATTAAATAGAGGAGCTCAGTACAACGATTTAAAAACTGAGTTCCACGTGCACAATTATTTAATACAGACCCGTGGGGGACCTCGTCCCTCACCCCCCCCCCCCTTCCGCCAACCTGACATATATTTTGAATACCACTTTTCAGCTAAACAAATATATAAATTCTATTATTATATTATATTATTATATTTTGATAGCAATACCAACATCTTACATGTTACAATAGAAAATAAAAATAAAATAATAATTAACATAGGTAATTGTAAGCGATCAGGTAGTCTCATGAATCGAATGATATGATCATATATTTGGTTACAGTAAAGATTCGCTTACCCGCCAATAGTTTCCAAAACATTATTGGGATTACACGTTTGCTGAAAATGATGTATGATTTCTAATCGACTGCCTATCGCATTAGAGCAGTGAAAATATCAACGTAATATTTCATTAATGAACGGTTACGGTTATACTTCTATAGTTTTATACGCACCTATATTAATAATTCAATGATATAAAAACATCTTATAAGCGGTAATTTTGTTGAAAAAAAAAAATAAATAAACGTTTAGGATTTCTATTTCAATATTTTACTATAATTATTACTGGAATTAAGTATGAGAAATTGTACCGAACAAAACATTAACTAATTTCGGATCAGTTTGTATTTCACAAATCAGTTTATTTAACTTTTCATAAATGTATTAATTGATTTTATCATGTTAAAGGAAAACGTATTTTTTTTTTTATTGTCGTCGATTCATTCAATACTTGATTACTTTCAATACGATCCTTCCGATTGAGACACATCTTAGCACATCTAAGATTCTTAGATAATGTCAGATATTAGAGGTGGGTCGGTCGCGACTGACCGAATCAAAATGAACGAATCATTCAAGTGACCGAGTCGCTACCGAATGATGTACCAAAAAGTATTCAGTCTTTCGGTCAAATCGATCTTTAAGTCAAACGACTCATTTGATGGTTTTTAATGAAACTTTTCTTTCAGACGGAATTATTTTATGACAATATACCGTTTACTTAAAGATACTTGGAGACTAAATATACCTAATAAATGCATTTTACAAAATATCAAGGGGGGCAGTTGCCCCCTCCAGTTTATGCATATGATGTATATAATATCAACTATTTAACACAATTTGTTTATACAGTCATACAACACTATTTACTTATACTTACTTTTATGATTTACTAGGTAAGAAATACTTAAAAATAAAACAACCAAATTTGAATTATAAAATTATTGAAAATATATAATATATGAACACAATATTGTAAATTTTGTATAATTCAAAATTATATATAATTTATAATTTTCTTGTACCAATTACAAAAATACAAAATGTTGAATTATTTTGTTTAATTTTTTGGTAATAGATAGTACAACCCATGCATAATAAGTATAAAATATGATAATAATAATAATTCTACTATATCATGGAGTCTTTAGTCTATTCTCGAGGAAAACAATAACTATCTAATAATAGACAGTATCGATTATTGATAGCCACTATAGTTGACTATAGTGTTGTACTGATTTACATGTTAATAATAATTACATCTCGTGATTAAAAGATAATATAATATAATCTGTGGTGAATGATGATATCTACTTTCACGATACCAACTAAGGTTTTGTAAGGTATTAAAGAAAACACAAGTCTATAATAGTAATCATAGGCAGTATATTAGTATAATATTAAATATATACAATAATAATTAATAATCCAAGACCGTGATAATTATCATGGCTTATAATAAGAACCACGGCGTTTTACTACAAACAGTACAATTTACAACATTATCATAATAATAATCTGTCACTGATTAACTGATTCATATTTTATAAGAAAATTGATTCACCTAATGATAAGAACGATATTTGATGCAAGACCGAAATGACTGATATGACCGAATCACTAGACTGATCCGATTCAAATGATTCGAATCATTCAAACGACCGAAAATTCCCACCTCTATCAGATATATTATAAATAAACTATGATACAGTGTGTCAAACAGTGTATCCTTATTATTAACCGTTATTATCGACGATTATCAACAATTATCGAAGATTATCAGTGTACCTATACATTACAAATGTCTTTTACACATACCATAACATATCTTCAATATTGCTTAAAAATTAAAACCAATGGTTTCCAAAGTTTTTTTGGCGGGAACGGGAATCGTACCTTTTTCGTTTTTGGCGGAAACGGGTAACTCCCGGTTTAATAGTATGTGAATTACTATTGCTCTAATACCTATTTGTTAGTTATTAGTTGATCACCATTTACATGGGACGTGGTAGCAAAAAGTATGAAATATTCAGATATCAACAACAGTATTTGCAATTCACTAAAACCAATTAATTATAGCGAACAATATTTCGATTTAAATATTATCCCACGCAACATAGATATATTTATTAAATGTTAAAAAAAATATTTGAAATATTTGATTAACCTTTAATATCAATTGGTTATATATATTTAAACATGAATTAAGTACTAGACATTTGTATAACTTTAAATTTTCATGTATTTTTAAATATTTGTTTTTGAAAATTTATAAATTCTTATTACATGTTTCAGGTTCAACATGAAAAATCAAATATATATTCAATTTTGTATAAAGATTTTATTTTAAATATTTTAATTCCAATCGTATGTAAATATTGTTTCATTGGCATGATTGAAAAATGCTGTGCGGGATATAATTCTGCAGTGATATAAAGCAGTAAGTTTTGGAAAGAGATTTGTATTTCCTATATAGGTGAAAAATATAAAATAAAAAAATAGAATATTCTTACAGTATATTAATAGGAAAAAGCATAAAACCAAGGTATATTTTACACACATAATGTTTGATTTATTTTTACTAAATATATGTACAGATATAATTAAAAAAAAAAAAAAACCATTTTTATTTATTGTTTGTTTCTTTTGCACAACGGTCAATGTAATATAGAATATTGAAAATTAAAATTATGTATATATATATATATATATATATATATTATACTTATAAATCATTAATAGTTAATATTAATAGTACAACATTCAAATAAAAGCTGTAGTAATAATATCTAGTCTGTGGCAAATTTATATAGGTATATAATAATATATATGGAATTAAATAAAATATCTAGAAAGTTTGTAAGCTTTTCATGCCTATTGTTTAGATCTATAGTAGGATTATACAAACTTTTTAGGTATACAGTAAATATTTGCATATAATAATATAATATGTAATTTACACAATTGTCAAATATGTACGATTTGAAAAATGTAATTCACAATTTTTGACAGGAAAACAAGGGAAGAAAACAATTTGACACATAACTGACACTTGAGCAAATATGCAAAAATTGTTTGACATATTAAATGGAAAGAAAATATGCTGCGTGTACATTTGTCTTTTTGGTTATTCATTTGTATTTTTATCTTTCTTATACTTATTTTTAAGTATACATTAGTTATAATCAAGATAATTTATACCAATTAAACACACAATCCAATAAAAAATTATACAATTTAATAGTACTATAACAGTTAAAAAGTATCATATTAAGATAAGTATAATACATGTATATATAGACTGAAAACCGTAAGCCAATATTTATTGAAAATAAATGAGATTAATATTAATTAAAACAATGTATGGTTGCATTAATGGAGAAACAAAGACAACAAAAATTTTTTTTTAGGGTTACAGATTTACTATTAAACATGAATAGCACCGAGGATGTGGAAATAGATTTGAGCACGAATGTATAAAACGGCACATAACTAAGAGTCGGACAAAAGCCAAGTTAAAAAAATATATTTTTGAAAATAATAACAACTCAAACACAATCCTCATAATTAGGGCTCTTAAATTTTCAACAATATTACAAGTTAAACTAGTTAATCTTAAATAACAATAGTTAATACATACTCTTCTCTTAAAGGGTATAAAAAAAAAAGTTACAAACCTACGGAAAAAGGTAATTTATTTTTATTTTTTTATGTTAGAAGCGACTCATTGATATTAACTATGATACGATTAGAACAGTAAACAAAGACTAGATATAGGAACCCTACAAAATGTATGTTTGTTTATTGAATTTTTATGTTTATCGAAAAACGGAAAATCATAATTAAACAAAAATCTATCAAAATAGCATCTTGGAAAAAATTTCTATATATTATATTAATGAAAGATGTGCAATATGTTTTTTTCCTATATTCTTTTAGGATGATTTATGACATAAAGAATCATAAAAAGGAATATAAATATGAAATTTGTAAAATATTAAATCATATTTTGCATGTAAGCTTGAGATTTGGCTCTTAAAGTCATTGCACATCTTTCAATTTAAATAAACAAGCAAAACTACAGATAATAATTAGTATTATGGAAAAAATAAAAATTATATAATAGGTAGGAATATAAAATATCTTCGCCCAATGAAAATAATAATAGTAATAATAATAATAATAATAATAATAATACATTTTATTGATAAGAAGATCAAAATTTAAATAAATTTAAGAATATATCACAGTAAAAACAGTAATTTTTTAGCATAAATCATCAACACGTGTTTTATTATGTCATATATATTCGTGATGTATTATTATTGAATGAGGTACGCAGTTAAAATAAAATTATTTTAATCTAAGAAAAGAAAAAAATATTACAAAGATAAATTATATTATATTCCTTAAAACTCCATAAGCATTAACCATTATAGCACACGTATTGATGTTTGATTGAAGCTTTTTGATAGATGAAATTCTTTAGGAATTTAAAAGTTAAAGGAAAAAAAAAAAAAGAGGTCCAAACACATTGTGACTTCAGTTAAAAGGCAGGCGAATTCAGTATATTGCTAGTCCTATTGGACAGCATGATTACACTGCAATAATCGAACAATAGAAGGATCACTTTTTGCACCTTCAATGAATTCCTCCAATGACAAACGACCATCATTGTTTTTGTCCATTTGCCTAAATATCTTGTCTGTTCTTTTTTCTGGTGTTGACTCATCCTCAGGCATTTTCATTACAGTACCTACCATCTTATAAATAGCCTGTAATTACCATATTTAGTATGTTATTATAGTTGTAATAAATAAAAAATATACTATTATATGGTATATTTAATAAATGGGTAAAATTAAGTTAATGAATTTACCGTAACAATTTCCAGCATTTCTTGGCGTGAAATGAAGCCGTTTCCATCCAAGTCATACATGCTAAAAGCCCATTTCAATTTCTGTTCCAATTTTCCACGTGATGTTACTGACAGAGCACAGAGGAACTCTCTGAAGTCTATTGTGCCATCACTATTGGCATCAAATGTTCGAAATACATGCTCTGCAAACTATTTTAAGCAATCGTATGATAAAGAATTCTTTTGCATAATAATAGTATATTTACTTTAGATGCATCACCATAGGGAAAAAAGTTTCCATAAATTTTTTTGAACTCTTCAACACTTAAATGCCCTCCTGGACAGTCCTTTAGAAAACCTTTATACCATTCTTGAATCTCAGCATCTGCAAAAATACTCATAAGTATTTCTGATATATATTTACAGTTGGTTAAAACAAACCGGAGAATTCAGTATTTTGTCTTAGGTCTTCCAAGACCTCAGGCTTCAACTTACTGTTCTGTTTTCCCATCCTTTAATCTTACTATAATATATGTAATCAAGTACCATTAAGCTTTCATTCTCATAATCTGTAGAGTTATAAAACAGTTTATTACACAAACAGCATTAGAATTAATAACTATTCACAGATATATATTGACATTGTAGTCATAACCAATTTGATAAAAAGATAATATGCATTTTTAGGCGGGATTATTTTTTCAAAGGTAATTAAAGAAAAACACAATTTTTTTCGAGACATCAGAATGAAATAAATTTTAGTTTTTGATTCATCTGTTAACCATACACAGCGCTCAGAGCAGAAAAGAAACATAACATTTCTTAACCTTAAGAACTAATTGACTAAGCTATTTAATATTAAACTTAACCTACGTATAACAAAAAAAAAAATAAAAATAGTTGCCATATCGAATTTTTTTTACAATATGTGCAGAAAAATGTATGTATTATGTATTGTATAAAATAAAGTAAGATAATTAAAATAAGTTGGTCTGTTTCGTGTAATAGCTAGACATTATTGTTACTAATTATAAATATTTAACTATTATTTATTTATTAGTTTTATTTTATATGTACGTACATAAATATGAATGCAAGTTGTTACATTGTATTACATATTCATAAATGTTACATACATACATAAAAAAAGAGTAAAGAAAAAGTTTTGTTGGATTTTGAAAATTACTATAAAGGACAACACTCTCCATAGATTTTTCACACTATGTGTATAATAAAACATCTATAATAATAATAATAATAATAATGGATTATACAAATTGGTGTATGAAAAAATTCTCAATTAATAATTAACCCTAAGTTTTTTAAAATTGATTTAAATAACTTTTCTATATAATTAATTAATTATATGTACGCTTGTACAGAGTGAATGAGATTAAAATACATTGTTGTGACGTATGTATAGAATAAAATATAAGAAATGTCTACAAAAATATTACATGTATGCAAATCGTCTATATAATTTCTCCGTTGAATATGTTTCATTTGCCTGAAGAATAAAATGTTATAAGATATGTTGAGATGAAAGGAAAAATAAAGTAAAATAACAAAACACTTGAATTAATTAGGTTTGTACATGTAAAAAGCTTAACCAAGTTAAGCATATCTGTTAAAAATAAAGTATTATTTTTCATAAGAAAAAAAAGACAAAGCACTTTACACTTTACATACAATTGCATATTTGAAATAAAGTTATTAGATTGAATATAACATGAAAATGGATGGTTTAATATTTGGCCGTACCTTATAACATACACATACACACACACACAAACACACACATATGTATAAAAGTATACAACCAGACAAATACAATAAATGTTATATGTGCGTATGAATATAAGTCACAGGTATATAAATAATAACAACAATCATAATAATAATATTTTTAGTTAAATTATAATAATCATAAATATAAAAAGTAAATGTATTTCATAATTTGGTAACAGACACTTTGGTTGCGATTTATTGCTAATGGAATCCAACAATATATGTGCACCATTGACGAAAAAAATAGAATAAGAAATTAAGTTATAAATTAATGTGATAAGATTATATAAATATAATATTGGTCCAAGAGAATGTATTCTTAAAATTACAAGCGGCTTAATGAACTAGCCAAAGGTAATAATAATCAATAAATAACCAATACGATTTCGTATTATGATCATTGATTTGTATTATTTTTGTGCGATATTTTTGATTTTTGAACAGAAAGTTCTCGATAGTTTTTTAATACACAAGTGGTCCACTCGATGACATGATTTTCGAACCCGACATTATTATTATTTAGAAACCCCGTTTATTTTATGCATAAATAAATCAAGTTCTATTTTTTTTTTAATAATTTTGTTTTTTGTTTTTGGTGTTTTCTTATAGCCAATTAATCTTAATAGTATTATATTGGAGTAAAATTAAAAAAACAACCTCGAAAATGGTTTTTAATGGTTATTTTACGGAGTTTTTAAGATTCAGTGAACTTAATTGAGTTTTATTATTATAGTTTTTCTTTTTTTGAGCTTAAATTTGCACTGATTAAAATCTGTTATAAATGAAAACAATGTGGGTTAACAGTCCAATTGAGTCTCCATTTTAATAATAAAAAACAAAATAGTTTACAGGTAAATGGGAATGTGCAGAAAATTATGTACACAAATAAGTCACCAGGCGAAATGGAAGCTAACTCGAGATTCGGGAAATCATTATTCAAAAAGGTCGCGAAGGTCTGTCGATGAATTTTGACTACTATGCAAATCGACCCAAGAGAAGGGAGCGGTACCTCCGTAGATAAATATCGCGTACAACCCGGCAACTTCTGTATATATTAAAATTATACATGTACCATGAACAAATTACCCTATTAGAGAAAATATAACCATAAGAAAACAATTATTAAATTTTTAGCTTTTTTTTGGATTCAAAATTTTGTAGAAAATATGATTTTTTTATTTTTTAATTTTTTTTTTTTTGGCACCGACAAAGGCGTACCCTACGGGGCGAGAGAAAAAGATATACAAAAAAATGCGGCGAAATATAATTTGGGCTTTCACGCCAGCCGGGGCAGTGGTTATGGTGCGAGCATCTTGGACAGCTCTTCGTCCTGTAGGCAACCTTTAAGGAATTCGTCCTGGGTCAGCTGTCCGTCATTGTTCTCATCCATTTTGGCGAATATATTTTTGGCGCGGTCTTCGGCAGAGTCAGCTGGACGATTCGATGAACACGCGCCCAGCATATCATAGATAGCCTGCGTATACATAAAACATAAATCAGTTACAAATTACATATTAGTATTCAACAAAGTAATTGATATTTTAATTTGAAAATGTAATTCATTAGTATTTCAAAAAGTTATTGACACGTTTCAATTGTTTTGCCCAACAAATAGTTGTGTAATTTATATATGAACATAAATAAACGTGTCAATACATTATTCATTCATTGATTTATATTTCTGAACGCATCAGTATGATGATACGTTGTATAAAACAAAATCAAAAAGGACGAATTTTTGTGATGTATAACGAGGTATATTATCAATTTTAATAACAGGCATTTGAAGCGATAAAATGGTCCAGATTAGATCTCTGCTGGTTTAACATAATGTATACCTGAACGATTTTCGTCATCTCTTGAATGTCGATGACTCCGTTGCCGTCCACGTCGTACATTCTGAACGCCCATTTTAGTTTTTCCTCCGGTGTACCGGATGACGTGACGTCTATGGCTAATAGGAATTCCTGTAACCGATCGATCAAATGCGTGGGTTTTAATAGTGACTGTTTAGTATACGCATGAGTTAGGTTAGTGTGGATATGGAAGCGACCTCATGAATAATAAAAGTTGATATTTCATTGAACGATTGGAAGGGGTCCGATGGATGAAGTTCATTTCATGACCTTTAACTAGTAGGCGACACATGGTATGTACATACAATAAAATCGTTCAGAAGGTGTTGGTTCTTCTCCTTTCTTATTATTTTAATTTTATAAAGTTTGAATAATAGTACGATATAATACTACAATATACCTTGAAGTCAATGTAACCATTTTTGTCCATATCAAATGTCCGAAAAACGTGATCGCAGAATTCTTCGGCATTGCCGCTCGGAAAGAACATTTTGTACATGTCCACAAATTTGGCTGGAGTTAAACGGCCGTTAGGACAGTCTTGCTGAAATAAAAATAAAATGTAAATATTAATAAACTATTCTATATAATATCAAATAAGTATAACACCGAGTGTTTATTCTTTAGTGTTTTTTACAAGTTTACAACTCAAGATACTGATTCTTATTTATACATTACTTGTATGAATATACATAATCAGATTTAATTTGTTAGTACATTTCAAGTTGATATTTTTAGAAAAATTTTACTCCTCATAGCTATATAATTAGGTACATACATGAAAAAGGTAATATTGCTTAGTACAAGAAAGGTTGAGTAGAATATGTAACTGTAGAAGCTTAAGCTCAGTTTATACTTCAAAGGTAAGCAGCTCGAGAATAATGAGCTCCAGCGTGAATTTCATGTCAAAATAATAAACTATACTTCAGAATATTTCAAATGATTTGTGAAAATTGTCAAACAATAGTGTGATGATGTTCATAATGGGTATGATATTTCTTAGATACATTTATAAATAATACAATGTATTACTGTATGTATTTTTATATCATACAATATAAAAAACTTACTCAAACATAATGTTCTAGATATATATATAAAAAAAAAAAAAACGAAAACATTGATTAAACTAAAATATAAAAGCTAAAATATTTTAAATTATAAAAAATGATGAAAAATAGAAACATTGTAAAATAAAATGCATATTGATAATCAATATATGAGTATACATACATAATACATTACATTTCAAAATACGAACAAACGATATAGACACTCACTATAATTATTATTATTAATTATCAAATAACGTGTAAAAATACTTTATTTTAAATAATTACTAAACTTTACAATTTATTTAGAAAATTAAAATGTAAAGTTTAATTTTATTACTTATCTTGTTTGAGTTAAAATGATAAAATTAGTTAATTTTTTTCCAGCTATTGAAGTTTTTTAATTATTATAATTACTTTGTTTTTTGTAAGTTTTTTAGGTCAAAACATAATATATTTTGTATTGACTATAAAGAACAGTTAATGTAAAACCATATTCTATTCCATCATTAATTTATGGTTGATAAATATTATTAATATTTCAATGAGCTTCGTTAATTGCGAAAAACATAGTACCTAGATCTTTTCTATGAAGTCACTCTACACACCCATGCATGGAGCTATAACGTGGAATTTGGTAAACACATTGAAGTGCTCAGTAACTCAAACATATACACACACTTAATATAAACATGGTACATCCTTAATTAAGTAGATCGTCAATTATTTATCGTGGTATAAAAAAAAGGTTTACAAGAATACCGTTCAAACAGATTCGTTCAATTTAATCCGTATTAATATTTATTAAAGTATTGCGCATAACACATGATCATGTTGTGCACAGATTCATCATATAATGGGTGAAGAGGATGGGAAATAGGGTACTATATACAATTTTTTAAAGAATTTAAGGATCTTTTGTCGCTTTTTAGACCGATTGAATTCAAAGTTTGAGGTTTGGAATTTAATTACAATTTTTACAAGCAAACATGATTTTGATACAAATATATGTAATTAATATTATTTTTATTCGAAAATCTGAATCAATAGTAAAAGATCTCGTTGTTCAGTGAAACGATTCTCATTGAGGGAACAGGTAAATAAACAAATAGGCATCATTCTAGCCTAATAAAATAAAAAAAAAATATTTGGTAATAATTGTTCCGTATTACTTAGAAGAGGTTCATGTTCTCGTCAAAGACATCTATCATAGAACAGACAGTTTTGGACAGAACTAGCTAGTTCTGTACGAGGAATTTTTTTAATCGAATTATGTATTGATTCAATCAATTTTATTAAACATAATTTACAAGATATGTATTATAATATAAAAACATAATCAGCGTATTGTTCAGAATTTTTAAGGGATAGTAACCTTTACGTATGGTTTTATTGAACATTCAGGACCGATCGCCCAAGAATGGCATAAACGAATTTTTCCATCAGAGTGTTATCATGTTTAAAAAATATTAAAATCTTCAAGGGAAATAAAAACAAAACGCGTATTCGTCCAAACACACCGTCATCACCGATTGTTGAAATCAACGAGGGACAAAAATCTTTCGTCGGCGAACACGTGTTTGCCGTTTAACTATAAATTATCATCGGAAGGAATGTGCGGGCGCGTTCATGGGGCTCGTCCAAAAGAAGCGGTAATTGTTGTTTTTTGTTAACGAGATGGTTACAACGTGAACCGGCCCCGTTGCGCGACGGCAGAGCACTTGTGTTCACTTGTGAACACTGAGAGTTGCGGGAGACAGAGCGGAGGCGGACGGACGGCTCAATGTGACCGGAACGAATGCGTGGCCGGAGCCCGACCGCGCGCTTAACCGGATAACCGGGAAACCAGAGAGCGTCGAAAAGGCTGAAGGAGGGAACGGGAGGACGACGACGACGAGACAGGTCAACAACAATAACGGCCGTAACAACGACAACCGCCGGCTCGGTTCGGCCATTGTTTCGCCGTCGTGGTAATAAACATTTCCCGGGACTGCGACGCGCGGACGGGACGAGCGAAACGTTGGCCGTAGGCGACGGGAATGATAAAGGTAAACCGGACCCGAGTGACCGATCCTGCGGGACTTGACACTGCGCTAATGTTACGAAATTATTATTTTTATTATTATCGCTGCTCCTTACCGTCCGTAAAATAACTGCGTGTACACAACAGCTCTGCGTAACAGCCCGACGGTTTCGCCAAGACTTACGCGGCGGCCGCGGCTCCGTTGTCTTTCGGTCAGGAGGGACGTGCTGCACAGACACTTCTTATTCCGTAGGGAAACTCAATTAATCATTCCCCGGGTTAATGCCATTAATCTCACGAAACGAAATCCAGAAAGGGTTAATAATACCTTCTCCGACCGACTCCTCCCGACAGACGTCGTGTGTGCGCGCGTGTTTGTACGACTACATGTATGCGTTTCTGGCGGGGGCGGATATTTTGTGCTGAAACTACATCGCTGTATATGGAAAATTATTCGCTTGACAAGTATCTTCTACCCGTGGGGTGAACGCCTGCATATATATATATATATATATATATATATGAACGTAACGGGAATCATTTTTTTAAGTAATGTTGTACTCGCACACGCGTTCCGCTTCTCGTTCAAAACGTACGGACGACGCGCACGGCTATTTATATACACGTGTTCGCGTACACATTTTTGTATATGAAATATATTACGACGAAAGTCGAAAATACGCGCAGTAATAAAAACGGGGAGAACAAGAAAAAACAATTATGTGACTTTAAAAATGCGCGTCTGTTTAGATTCAATAACGCAGATAAAATGATTTCACGACCTGTCGGGTAATCAAACGTTTATTTTAGTACAAACAATAATGCATTATATACATTTATATGCGTATGGTGTGTAATACCAAGTATATACGGAAAAGTTTCTTCAACTTTATAAGTTATAAATAGAGAGCGGATGTTTATGCGCGCACGTTTTTCCTATTGTTCTGGAAAGTTTAAAAACGATGCGGATAGACATTATATTGTATCATTTCGTGGCCTATAGAAATTCAAATTATATTGGCCATGGTTTTCTTTTTGTTTTCCATTAATTTCAACACGATTTTACATTATTCGCGTTTTAGAAAGTCGTATCCGGAGAGCTTCTTCTTACCGTTTTAAGTATTTTTCAAAGTTTATAGATCATAGTTTAATAACTGTGATTTATCGAGCAGTCTATTAACATAATACAATCTGTTATAGGCTTAATATGCATTTAGGATTGATCAACAAGTTTGATTTAATTTACAGATATTATTTTGTAACATTAATTTTCGATTTAAACAATAACTAACTTAAATAATTAACTATGTATTTATTAATAACAATTTACGAAAAACACATATAGATAATTGTTTAATAGAGTACCCAATTTTAGATGATTATTTTAAAAAAAAACGATTACACATTTTTTAGAACATTCAATACTATTTGATTACTCAAAAGAAAAGTTTTTATTTAATCGGTTTCTACAGATTCGTTAGAAATGGGAAAATGTTATTTTTAATATATATAAATGGGAAAATTTAAGTTACATAATTTTTTAGTATTGTGTTATGTCATTCACAAACGTCTTACAACGTTTTGTATGAGTATATCGTATCAGAAATGTCATTAAAATTATTTCTAAAGTTGTTTTCTATCACATCCATCTAATTATATTACCAATATAGTTCAAATGGTTCGTTGAATACTTTATAATATACTTTCAACTTATTAGATTTAAGTTTTCATGATACTTTTTAGTTTTTTTGATAAAATATTATTTATAATAGCTTTAGTACGGAGGTGAATACTATTTCATATTTACTACCTATTAAATTTCTTTTCATTTAAGTTGTGCTTTGTGATAAAGTTTTTTAACAATAAATGTAGGTATAATATACATAAAGTTCCACGTAATTGTTATGAAAGTTTTTTAAAATGTGGGTTTTAGATTCTTATTTTTTTAAAAAAGTGTTAGATTCAGAAAATGTAAAAATACGTTTTTATGTTGTCAATTATGAAACACTTTAATACCCAGCCGACTTATTTGGATTGGGCTGGTGCTGTTGGTGGATAAGTTCTAGAGTGGATTAAAGGTTATTTCATATAGAGCGTAAACAATTTGTCAGATATAAAAATGACGGGGTTTTTGAGATTAAAATGACATCTGGTGTTTGTCCCTCGAGAATAGTTTTTATAACCTTTATATTTTTTATTTAGAGTTATTAATAACATAAGTCAGGATTTTTTGTAGATTTTTTTTTTTTTTTTTTTTTTTTAATAGATAACACATAATTTCTAAAGCTTATATTTTTAAAGTAATATTTTTGTGACGTTTCACAGAAAAGTTGAAAAATAAAAATAAAAACTGTTTTACCTTATCGAAATGTATTAATAAGATTAAAATAATTTACTTCTTAAAAAATTATTTACTTCTTAAAAAATTATTTAATTTCATGTAAATTAAAATTATATAGAAAATATTTG